TCAAACTCGAAAATAATTTGTAAAAGACTTAATACTTTTTTTCAAGTTGGACACAACCCAGAAAGAACCAGCAATGTATAGCCTACCAACTTTTTCCATTTACTTTAAAGTTCTGGGAACTTCCCCCATGATTATATAAGTTGATAATTGTATTTCATTTTCTAATTTCAATAATTTTGTTAAAAGAAAAACATCAAAATGTTTTTTTTGTTTGTTTTTTTTTAAAGCTAGGCTGCCATAAATAAGGTTTAAAAGAAGATATATAAGTCAAGTAACTAATATCGAGGGTTTTTTTTGTTGTTTGAAAAACTTAAAGCATTGAAATTAAGATTTTTTTTTTAGGTTTAGAAATATGAAGAATAGCAGCTGTATTTGATTTTCAGATTACCTCATATTATCCAAGTCTCACAATGAAACTTGGCAGCATCGCACGTAAAGTCAATAATTAACTATGAAGGGGAAATACTTGAGGTGAAAAGATTTCCACCACACTGATTTTATTAATAAAGCTTTATCTGATGTACCCACAGAAATATGGTTGCCATATTTGGCTTTTAAAGTTTTAGGATGTCATTTTAAAGCAAAGCTGAAAAAAAAAAAAAAAAAAAAAACAGGCCACGAGGCGTCTGACAGGGATTCTCCCCCCGCCAGCTCACTCCTACGCGTTACAACAGGGTCTAAAAGTGACTGAACTTCCACACAAGCGCTCAACCCACCCATCTCCTCTCAGAGTGGAAATAAATAGGTCACAAGTCCCCACCTGAGTCTCTGGGAACTTTTCTAAGAAACAAAGAATTAATAAGAAAGGTTACGACAGAGGGTCAGTTCCTGTCGGAAACCTGTTTTCAAAGCATCAGGGTGTACAGAAGTACCCTCTTGTGCTGACGCAGACAGGGAAACTTCAGCCTTCCACTTATCCAGGTAAATACAGAATGGATGGATACAGCCATTAATCTTATGTGAATCCTAAAAGAATGGGAATTTCCCTCCATTGCATGGAAATTCCCCCCCAAAAAAACATACAGGTTCGTTTCAAATGGATTGCTGTGGCCGTGAGATCGTTTAATTCAATGTTTATTGATAGACTCAGTAGGCATTAATGCAAACTGCTTGTTTTCAGTCTTGTCGGTTGGAAGTCGACAGTTTGGTTTGTCCCATCACTGAGTTGGATTTTAGCCTGGAAGGAGGAAGGGGATTCCCTCTTTGGGATTATATATGGTTCTGAGATGCTCCAGGCACTTCTGTAATTAAAAGAACAGTGTTCTTATCACAAGCTGAAAAGCAGCTCTCAACCCTACAAAGACAATTACCCCCAAATGTAAAGACAGCTATTGCTGTATAAAACATTACAGAGAGCCCCTCTACCTAATCTGCTCCATTTTCACATTTCATTTAGATCACGTCCTACGTTTGTGGGTCTCAATCTTCGGGGTGTTTTTTTGACTCTACATTTGCGTAGATTTGCCTAAATGTGGTAGATCCAATATTACATCAGCGCTGACTGAGAGCAAGTTCACACTACGAGCAGCCAGACTGTCATTCATACCTGAAATGATTTATGAGTCATCACGGGGAGCTCTAGCAAGCAAAAAAGAAGAAAAATGACATGGCCTGTATGAAGAACCTTTACCACAGAACACACTCATTAGTTTGGAACTCATGAATCTCCCGTTTTGAGACTCAGCAACACTAAGGACAAGAGGAAGCAGCAAAGAACACAACCATACCTCATTTCCTCTTCCTTATTAATCATTTAGGCCTTCAAAAAATGAATTGTTGAATGTACCAATCAAAAAGCATTTTGGGATTTTTTATTTTGTCAAATTTAGTGCACTAAAACGTATCTCATTATCCAGTTTTAGAAAGAAAATTAAACCTACAACTGTCATAATTGTTTGAAACCAATAAGCTGACATTGCTATATTGCAACAAGGAAAGTGGAGCATAAATCCCGTTAACAAAATCATTTTTTAATTGAACAATTACATTTTAAGTTTAACACCTTAAAGCCAAGTGTATCATATTTGACGCGAGTTTTTGAGACTTATAATGATCAATGTGATGTTTTTCTGCTTGAAAAACTGATTTTAACATTCAAACAGATATAAAAATGCCTAATGTCTCACATTTGATGCAAATAAACGATTTAATTAAACTCAATTTAACAAAAATTTTCAGAAGGTTCAAGACATTCTAATTTTGAAAAACTTAAATGTTCTATCAAGTATTTCATGGTTTAGGCTTTATAGGGTTAACTATTACACTTCTTCTGTGGTATTGTGTTGAATCCTTGATTCACTAACTGCCTCGAAGGGATTTTAAATCAGTGGATAAGAAAGATTTGTGTGCAAAAACCTTAAAGGAATAGTACACCCAAAACATGATTAGCCTTCATTTTCTACTCACCTCCATGCTGAACAACACTCTGGAGTACTTTTTTGATATCTCAAATGCATCTGGAGATCTGGGAGACTTCTTGCTGTCTGCTGACATTCAAATAATGGAGGTCTATGGCGCCCGAGACAGAAAGGTCCACAAAAGTCCACAAAAACTTGTCAATATTCCTCCATACTGCTCGTCCAATGTAATCCAAGTGTCCTGAGTGGGTAGCATCCAGAATTTACTCGAAACGAAGTCATTTAGAACGTTTTAGAGCCTAAACAGTAGTGTATAGGATTTCCTAATAGCGCCCCCATGCGCGCTCACGATTCTACGGAAGCCGGCAGACCAAACCAGCGCATTCAGCTCGGCAAAGAACTCATGCTCTTCCTCAACACTGAAGTCCTCAGACATTTTTCTTTCGTTGTTTCTTTCTTTGCACAGGTAAACAGCACATTTCTTCTTCTACGCTTGCATTATCGGCAGACCAGACGCTGAATGCGCACTTCCTTCCGGTTTGGTCTGCCGGCTTCCGTAGAATCGTGAGCGCGCATGGGGGCGCTATTAGGAAATCCTATACACTACTGTTTATGCTCTAAAAACATTCTAAATTACTTCGTTTCGAGTAAATTCTGGATGCTACCCACTCAGGACACTTGGATTACATTGGACGAGCAGTATGGAGGAATATTGACACGTTTTTGTGGACTTTTATGGACCTTTCTGTCTCGGGCGCCATGGACCTCCATTATTTGAATGTCAGCAGACAGCAAGAAGCCTCCCAGATCTCCAGATGCATTTGAGATATCAAAAAAGTACTCCAGAGTGTTGTTCAGCATGGAGGTGAGTAGAAAATGAAGGCTAATCATGTTTTGGGTGTACTATTCCTTTAAGCAGTTGAAAACTGCTTAAGGTTTATCTGACATACTCTGCAACTGAAACTTGAATCTTGGGATCTACTTGACTCAGTTGCAAAGCCCCTCTTGATTGATTATGACTGTTGATTGGAGGATTTCCCATAAGGAACTGGTACATAAATGTGAGTCACTCTGCAACTCTGCATGCAGCCGCAGAGGTGCAAAAGTGGGTAAAGATTCCTGCCATAGAGCAGGAAGTCATGACAGTTCTGTCTCCCTAAAAACAAAAACACTATGGTTTAAACCTTAGATCAATAAAATTATATTTTGCATGAAAAAAATTCATTCTTGTACAAGTGTGTTTAGAGTAACCTAATTAGGATACATCTAATACAACTGTTATATACGTGATTTAAAACTGAATCTATGATTGGATCGTTGCATTAAGCTCATCATTTAGTATAAAATGTCTGCGTTTATGGCCTAATGTAACATTTAAATTTTAGAAGTCATTTTTTCTTTATCTGTAAAGTGAAACAATCATAATCAACGAGGCTTGAATCATCAGTCTGTGTGTAAATGACTTTTTTTCTGTGATATTCAAATTTAATGAAACGGTCTAAATTAATTGTAGTTTAGTGGAAAAAACACTATATATTTGTTTTAAACTTTCATGTAATTTCATTTAAAGAGAAATGATTATGCCAAGTCGTTAAGTTTTAGTGATTCTGATTAAAACCAATAGAAGTTCTAAATATAAGTCTTGAACACTGCTTCATGACAGAAGGACAAAACATGAGATTTAATATTTGGGATAAAACATCAGGACACAAACCTGGGTTCATTCTTTCTGGGTTTTTCCTCCATTCAGCATGAATGTGGATCAAATTCAGTCTCATACCAGTAGGGAGCTTATGCAAGGCGCTGGCCGTTAGGTAAGCCAGCAAACATTTCCCAATTAACACAACTTGCTTACCTTAACCTATAACTACTTGGTAGAAAAGCGTTCCTTTTTTTTGCGTGTAGTAAGATTTTGCAACAAAATGCACTTTAGCTTTAAAAAGTATCAGGTGTTACAACAGGAAGGATTAGGTTGCAACTCCTTGTGGTGGCTATATACAAGTAGAAATAGCATTGTTTTTTTAGATGTTACCTTATATTGAGGGAAAAAACCCTTAGTTTGAATAAATCTCCACTTTTTTTTGTTTAAGACAAGCGAGTAATCACTGCAGAACAGCTAGCAGAACTAGGAAGCAAGGAAAATAAACATGGAAGGTTTAGGATTAGAATATGCTGAATAAAAGGTTAACCTGTGGTGATATTTGTAATTTAGAGCACACAGAAACATGAAATCTTTGGGGGCAACTGTGGTTGCCATACCAATTTGTAATATTTTGACGTCAGTTGCTACCAGTTGACACTGAGGTGTAGCTGAGAGAATAAATTACTAAAATGCATCTTGTTTTTGGCTTTTTCTTGCAAACTACATTCTATAGAACTGTAACAGGACAAAGAAAATAATAAGATGAAACATCTTCACTTGTTTCCTTTTAAGATAAACTAATGCTAATGGCTCAGCAGGATTTTACAGAAACAAATCCCATTTCCTTTATTTAGAGGAAAGTAGCAACCATTTGTTCAGTAATTCTCTGTATAGGCGTTGCTAAGGAAGTTGCTTAGATTTTAGCTGATCAAAGCACCAGTCAGGTTAATGTAGCTATGGGTGATATACTATTGGTATGGTTACAGGAATCTATGGATCCATTTACCCTTTTATATTGTTTTAATTTACCGTATACAGAAAATAAAATTTGACACAAGACACGTAAGCCTGCCATTCTACTGTATTCCATCTTTCAAAAAAGAAAGACAAGATTTAATATTACTTAACAATATGTTAAAAGTAGCCGGACTGGCTTCAGTGTTAATACAATATACACTCTATAACATGTTGATAGTGTGAGTATTGTTCTTTTTCGATTTCATTCTGTAAGTATTGACACAAGCTGGCTACAGGTCAAAGAAAAGAAAGAAAAATAACGGATATTTCCTAATAATTTTAAACAGAACTTAGAACCAAAAAAAGAACATTGTCAAGTATTACAGCTTCCTCCATTCTATGAAATTGGATGGAGGCGGTGGGGGCGGAGGGAAGGGGAAACCAGCAGACAAAGCCTATTCCTTGTGAATCAAGTAGAATAGACACCGTGGAACGATAGGATAGTAAGCCACAAAATGTCAAATACAGCTTTAATTCAGACATTTTTTTCTAGTTTCCATAGTCTCTTTTTTTCATAAGGAAACCATCCAGAAATAATAAGCATCTTTTGACTACAGGTTTGCCGGTGGCCATTATAGTCAAAAGAAACCCTAAAAGCACACAAGCACGCAAGGAAGATTAATCAGATGTAGAATAGCTTTCTGTGATTCTTTTTGTATCATTTCCATTGAATCTTTGCAGGTAAATTAGTCCAGATGGATCTGTGGTGGTACCACATAGGAACAAGAACAAAGCAAGGCAGCGTGGGTGTGGTCTGGGCACAGCAGGAGAGAAGGTCTGGGGGGGACAAGTGGGTGAAGGTGATGGGTCACGGGTGAAGGGTGGCTTGATATAGCAATCAGGGTAATGATTTGTGTTCCGATAAGTTAACAACACCCTCAATGTGCAGCAAAGGTAGCTTTCTTCAAGCTAAAGTTTGACCAGTTTATGGAGAGCCGCTGACGAGTCTGTCTGGCAGAGTCCAAGCAAAATCTGAAAAAGAGAGAGATAGAATGAAAGTCTGAATCTACTTTATTGCCCAAATTTGTTCACATAGATGAACGAGGAATTTAATTTTTGGTTTTGACTGCTTATGTCATAAAACAATTAGGAAAAAAAACAACAAAAAAAACAAAACAAACATCTACCAAAGCAAATTCAATTTTTATAGTTATAAACAAACACAGATTCAATCATTGACTAAAATTCACTACAATATTTACCTCTAGGGCCAGATAATAACCATCACTACACAGACATATCTACTACTAAGAATCAAGCATGGAAATCTTATAGAAAAATTCAACCTTAAGTGTGGGATTATTTATTCAGTGGAACCATGTCAACATCTGAAGAGAGTTACCAACTCTCATATCCTAGGGCTGTGCAACATGGCTAAAACATATAACATGGTATAAAGCTTTAGTATCAGTCAATGTAAATAGTTGAAGGGCTGCAACAACGAATCGATAAAAATCGACTTTTAAAAGCGTTGGCAACGAATTTCATCATCGATTAGTTGTGTCGCGCGATTAATGCGTCATCCGCCACCGCCGTCATCACATCCACTTGACTGAAACGGGGGAAGAAAAAAAATACGGCAGAGCAAGTCAGCGCTGGAGGTGCAGTGTTGCCAATTCAGCGACTTTTCAGACCCCTCCAGTGACTATTTTTCAAAAAAGCGACTGGCGACAAATCTGGCGACTGAGGAAGCCGCCATGTTCTTTAGACTGAACTGTCGCGCTTCTTGATGCATCACACCTCAACCCGCCTCAAAGCCAACGCTGATTGGACGTTCGTTTGGTGAACGGCTCCAAATTTTCTTCAACGGAGAGTCTCCAGACTAATTAGTGAGTGAAATCTTGAAAGCTCGCGAGATCAGGATGGTCTCACAAGGCTACTATTTAACAAGAGGTCCGCCCTACTACCAACCTTGCTTAGAAATGTGCCTGAAAGGTAAATACTAGGGGTGTAAATAATAATCGTTTTGTATCGATGCATCGACACGTCCGCAAGAGAATCGATTAATGTAGTTTTTTTCCCTCCGGTCTATTTTTATCCATTTGCTCCTGGGCGTAATTCTCCCTCCCGTGCTGCGGTGCCGCTAAACCTATTTTGCCCTCCTACCGCGCTTTCTGGTTATACTCTTACAGCAGTTTGTTGCAGCAAGCTTCACACAGACATTTTTAAATTATGCTCAGTATTGAAGCGTGGTCTGGGCTACACGCTGTGGGTCTAGATACGGCCGAGGCGGAGAGGAAGTGGGGACGAGTTTAGTCCGACGACGGAGGGACAATGGGGCAAAAAGAGCGAAGATCCAGCTGGAAAAAGGCTCCCAGCGTTCTCGCGCACCTCGCTCTTCTAGCGGGTCAAACTTCACGAGTTGTTTTCCGCAATTTCAGTCATAAAAACAAAACAAGCCGGCCTCCTGTCTGCAGCACTGTTTGCGGTCAGCTACAATCTGGGAGAGGAGCAGCGGAGCGTCTCTCAAGGGGGCGGTGACGCAACACTCTGGAGCCTTCTTCTTCTTCTTTTTTTTTAATGGCGGTTGGCAAACAACTTATAGGTGCATTACCGCCACCTTCCAGAATGGAGTATGGACCAGACAAACTATTATATTCTCCCTAAAATACCCGTTCTTCTTAGAAAATTAAAAATACTACCAAAAACTACATCCCCAGATGACCTTTGAAACAATTCCCTTATATCTAGTTTATTTTTATTCCTGTCTAACTCTCTACACAACATCTCTCTTTCCTGAATATATTTATTACATTCTAAAAAAATATGTTGGACAGTTTCTCTGGAGCCGAGGTATTGCATTGAACTGATTACACTGATATTGTGCAGTATTTTTGCAGTATTTTTTGATGCAACTTTTCTACTTCTGTTATTTGCTGTTGTTTCTAAAGAAAATGCATAATGATATTACAGCTTTCATTGATTTATTTCAAACTTGAAACTTTGTTTAGCCTGTAAGGTGTAAAAAAAAAAAAATAATAATAAAAAAAAAATTAACCGATTAATCGAATCGAATCGTGGTGTATTCTTAAGTATCGAAAATAATCGAATCGTTGGGTCAGGAAATCGATACTGAATCGAATCGCCATGATGGATGTGATTTACACCCCTAGTAAATACATACTTTTTCCTCTCCCTACACCCCCCATATAGTGTATGCATGTCTATTGCTATACATGGAAAATAATTGATGTCTCTTACATTAACTACGTTTTTCTCACAAGATAAAAATGGGCATAAATAGTTACTCCAAGCAAGTGCCTTTAAAAATAAAATAAATTAAGTATTCTATTACCCCTACTTTATTTTCAAAGAAATTTCTAAGTACTAACCCATTTCTAGTATTTCTGGATCAGAAAGAAAAAGATGGAGGTCACAGAAAAGAAAAAAAAAAAACATAAAATTTCTTACATTGATATCTTAGTCAGCAAACTTGCATTGGCGTTTACTTTTTTATGAAGTGCTAAATATGGAATCCAGCAACTATGCTAATTGGACTCGATAGGTGCAAACAGCATGGTGGTTTTTATGGACACTAAAGGATGTAGTTCCATAATCAGCTTATCCAAAAGCTAGGAACCAGAGTAGATAAATATGATGGCCCTACAAGTGGTATCTTTTTAAAAATGTAATAAGAATATAGTCAAGGTTATATTAGGTTAACACACATACCTTTTGAAATACTCCACCTCCCTCTCAGTTTCATCCATTTCTGTGCTATCAAGGTCGATGTCTTTGGGCAAGAATACGTCATCTGAAAAACAAACGAAAAAAATAGATTTTGACTTTATCTGTAAAACTTACTTCAGTGACTTCAGACTAGCAGTATGAGCAGCCCACACAATCACAAACCACAGAGTGGCTTTAGCACAAAAACCAGGAGGCCAACCAATGAAGAACTGATATAGTGCTGTCCACCTAATGCAGTGTTCATTGAGTCATTTTCTAGTTGCAGCAGGTAGCATTTCAGCACTTTCTCAGAAATAAGAGTATTAGAAGATCCTACGAAATAAAACGCCACATTTCTTGTTAAGAAGATTTTGTCTCTTGTACTTTTCATGTCTTGTAGCTTTCAAGGTAAAAGCTTTTAGCTACAGTCCCTGTGTACATCTGAGACATTTATTCCATCTTTGACTCCAAACTAAAAATCCTTGAGTTGTTATAAACACATTTACAAACAAGAAGTCTTTTGCAAAAATAACAAGGAAGAATGTATAAATGCTGAGAACCTGCTTCGACTAAATGCTTAAGTTGCTCTCTAATGTAATAAAAGACAGTTTAATTATATATATATTTCAAAATCTAAATTGCTTAAGACGAGTGAGATTTATACAGAATGTGTGAAAATGTGGAAGATTATTCAACTGATTAGATTCATTATCAGTTCATTTTTATAGTTATCTCACTACTTTGCTGTTGTTCCTTACCCGGTACCACTTGAATGTACAACGCCAAATCCATGTCTATAAGTCACCTTAAATCTCTGTCCTATTTCTTTTTTTCTCTCTCAATTCAATTTAAATATGTGTATTTATGTGGATGCACTTTATATACCCCATGCACCTTTTCCTCCGTTTGGCACCTTCTTTTGAAGTGAATTTCTCCATTGTGAGATCAATAAAGTTTATCTTATCTTAATTACATTTTTTTTTTTTTTACATTTATTAACATTTAATTAACTTAACCTTCTTTTAGACAATACATCATTGAGGTTCATCACAAACCGTAGAGCCATGACACGTCACTGTGACCTGTACTCTCAGGAGGGATGGCCTTCCCTCTCTACGATAATGCAGTGTCATTGGCACACTTTTATTTCCAAGGCCCTTCTTGGATTGCTGCCCTCTTACATTTGTACCTTACTTAAACAGAAAAACATGGCTTCTCATGCCCTGAGATCCAACAATCAGCTGTTACTCACTGTTCCTTTTGCCCACACAGAACTAGGGAAGAAAGCCTTTAGCTACGCAGCTCCTTGTACGTGGAATTTTTTTTAAAAAAAGAAACTGGAAGTTGACTGAGTTTTTATCTTTAAATGCTTTGAAGTTGAAAGTGAAAGAATTTAAAGCAGCCTCAATGATCTGTAATTGTTTTACTTGATATGTTTTCTTTATGTACCTGTCATTTAATTTCATGTATCTCTGTTATGTAACTTTGCTGCCTCTTGGCCAGGACTCCTTTGAAAAAGAGGTTTTTAATCTCAATGGGATTTTTTTCCCTCGTTAAATAAAGGTTAAATAAATAAGTCAGCAATTCTATTGTTAGTCAATTATTTGTTTACATCTTTTGTCTTTCCGTGGACCTGTGGTGGTTATCCCCTTACTGGATACCTTTTTTTATTGACTTTATAATACTAACTGCCTTTAAAGCGAATGTTGGACACCTACCTATAGAGGTATTCATCTTGTCCCCCTTCTTCTTCTTGCTTTTCTTGCTCTTGCCTTTGGGTTGGGGGGACTCTGCAGTGGGAGGTTTGCCATTTTGTTGGGGCTCAGAGTGGGAGGCTGGAGGGAGAGATGGGGAAGGGTTTGACACAGGGGGGCTTGTCCTGCTTTCCTTGATTTGGGTAAGGGGCTGTTGTGGTTGCTGCCTTTTTCCACTGACACATCTGCTATTACTCCTTTCCTCCTTGCGTGGTTCTGTTGTGGGTGTAGAAGTCAGGGTCTCAGCGGGCCTGATTCGTGTTGCTTTGGTATCTTCTGTAATAATGGGGGTGGTATTGTTAGTCTTTGTGACCTCATCTGAGCTCTTGGGCAGTTCTGGCACTCTCTTTGCAATGGAGTCACAACATGAGACTTTCCCTGATGGCTTGGCTTTACTTTTACAGCCAACAGTGGAAGGTGCGCCATTGAGGAGATTAGCTGTAGAGTTGGTCTCATTAGAAAGCCTCGTTTCAGGGGCACACTTTGAGGTGTGCTGAGAGATGGGCTGGGGTACAGGTTCTAATTTGTGTTCTTTCTGGTCAGAGAAGTGGATAAGGTTTTTAAGCAGCTGCGAATTTCCGTTCTGAAGGTTATCTAGGACATTCTGAGCTGTCTGTTTGAGGGGTTGTGGGTTGTTATGAGGGGGTGCGGTGTTCTCCTTTGCTTTCTCTTTCTTTTTCTTCTTGGCAGCGCGATGGTGCTGCAGCTCCTGCAGCCGTAGCAGTTCTTTTTGAAGTGCCGCCTCTTCCTCTTCCTGCCGCCGTCGCTGCTCCTCCAGCAACTGCTGCTCCTCCTTTTCACGGGCCTCTGCCTCCAAGCGAGCTTTCTCCTCCATCTGAAAGATGAAGACACACAGAGAGCTGATCATCTGCAATTCAACACTTGGGTCTTTGCAAAGAGAACACAAAATAGTGCACAGCTGTAAAGTGAAAGGAAAATTACAGCAATGTTAAATCTTCTACAACCAGAAAAAAACAACAACAAAAAACTGTGTAATTGCAATTGTATTATAACCAGTGCAAATGACGTTTGCATAATTAATCCGAGTCTAGTTGTATGTAATTGATTGTGATAAGACCAATTCATTTTTAAAGAAAATAAAGCAGGGTTAGGTAATATAAAAATATATAAACCTTTAAGAATCAATGAGGCAGCCAAAAGTTCTCCTAAAACTTAAAGGAGGCTGAATAGAGCCTCAGCTCAGGTGGAACAATCGCTGCTAACAAAAGATAGCTGTTAGATGTGCACTTTAAATCTGGTCTTTATGGAAAAGTGTCAAAAAGAAAGTTGGTTATTTAAGGAAAGACATTTAAAGTGTGCTAGATGCCCTATAGAAAATAACAACCATGTGGAAAAAGATGCTCTGGCAGAAGAGAGAATTAAACATAATCCTCTAGATGGAGTGTAAAAATAATGTATACCAAGCGTACATGTATAACAAGGCTTGGGCAGCCAGTCAGATCTAAAGGGAATAGATAAAGACCCAGAGATGTAGCTTGAAACAGATCTGAGTAGAATTAGGTTTTAATACACCCTAGTCGAAGTCAAGACCAAAACCCATGACCTTTAAAAAAATATAAATTATAATAAATAAAGTTTCAAAATTTAGGACAAGTCACCTTTTTTTGTTTATGTCTGGCTCGTTTGGCAGCCTTAGTGCTGGATGCAGGTTTATTGTCTGCGCTGTTAATAAACTGCAAAAGGTCCTCCACCCGCCTGTGGTCCTCCACCCCTCCATCTCTTTCTATCACTGGCTGCTGCTCCTCACGCTTTGGTTGCTCCTCCTTACGCTTTGTGAGACGCAAGCGCAGCTTCTCCCGCATCTCTGCATAATTTCGGCTGGTTGGAGCAGCTGGTGGCTAATTAAAAAACAGTACAGAACAAGGATAAATGTAAGATTTTTCAAAGATATTCATATTACACATTACATTTAATAAGAGTGATGCACTAAATTTTTCACTCCAGCCCTATAGGTGGCGAAAACACGCTTAAAGTGGGTTTTCTGCCAAAAAGAAAGGTAGAGAGAGTTGCAATTAGCATGCAGATCCATCTATCCCTGTAGAAGTAAGCACTTTTTCACACAAAGGTTACAGTTAAGTCCTGCTGCAATAGACTCTTGACAAACGAGCCTTCAAGGTCATGTAAACAACAAAAACCTTTGAGCGAAACATCTACGTGCTTATGGTTAGTGTTCAGCCCTTACTGTAGCTACAGTAAACATTGTTCAATAAAAATCTTATGACTAAGTCAGAGCATAAATCCTTTCACTCTTACCCCGCCATGCCCAAAGAACTCGCAGTAGCAGCAGTCACAGTACTTTCCCTCCTTCTGGTTGGTTGAAGTGGAGGTGGAGGAGCTGTGCTCGGAGCAGCTATCCTCATCTGGACTCTCCTCGCCATCGTAGGGCGGATGTTCATATGATCCACTTCCTTCACAGCGATGGCCTTCACAGTCAGGGTCACTGACAAAATTAAGTAAAAAAAAAGTTTCTTAAGCCTCAGCTTTAAATTTAGTGTTTCCTTAAACATCTCCTTTGCTCTAAACCTGTTAGATATACCTGCAGACACTAGTGGGGGCGCTAACTGGACCATCCACTGAAGGTGCTGGAGGTTCAGCAGGCGGAAGGCAGAGGGCATGATGGGACTCCACAAAGTCTGGGGGTGGAGTAGCCATCTTTGGAAAGGTCTGTGAGCCCACTGAGGAGAGTTGAGATGTTGGGGCTGGGGGTAGAGTGGGGCCAGAGAGTGGAGGAAGAGAGGCAAGTCCCATGGAGTTGCTTCTAGGAGCTGCAGACATGGGCTGCCTGTGATCATCTTTACCTAGGCTGTGAAAAACATCATCTGGAAAAACCAAACAAAACAGTCTCAGAAATGTATAGATATTTTTTAGTACAAAAACATATTTAACATTGAATAAACACAGCAGCCATGTCTTTAAGCTCAAAGCCTACTCTGTATTGTTTACTGTGGAGTTTGGAGTTACTGTGCACTTTGTGTTTAACTAAATTTAACCTCATCGTAATCCACAACTACATTTAAAATAGGAACCCCACAATTTGAAACCCAGGATGGTAAAGGTGTTCTTTGGTCTGGGGAGGCTGCATTTTTTTTTTTTTTTTTACATCATATTGACATTTTGAAAGGAGGCTGAGGGTGCACAATTTATAACACAGGCCCTGATGAAGCACTGCCTGCAGAGATAACCTCACTCTTCCTCGGATTTAAGCTGCAGCATGATGAACCGATACAAGACTGATGGCTGTTGAAGAGAAACAGGAGCTCATCTACAACTTTTAACTATTTGAAAACTATAAAAACAACCTAGAAAATGTGTTTTTATCCCTTTGGTAATTTATACCTTTGCAGTTTAATAAATTTATATCATGGTCTAATGATACCATTTACCACAGAAAATGTTAACCCAATATGAAAATTTCACATCAGCTTTGAAAATAGGTGGACTGAACTGATTTTTAACAGTCTACTCATAGACTCATAGACAGTCTACTCATAGACTCATAGAAGAGGAACATTTGTTTTTTGTTTTATTTTAATGATAAAGAAAAATAAAAAAAAAGGTCAGCGGGAGACCACAGAGGGTTACTTCTGGCTTTCTTGAGGTTCACATTACCCAAACCAGGACTAGAACAAAACTAAAAACAATTGTTCTAAAAAAGTTTTCAGGTAAAAATATACATTCCTTAGTGCCTAAGAATAAGGTAAATGGACCTCTGTTTATGTATGGATGCCCAATCTGCCCTATAGAGTAATGCATTTGCTCTCTAGGGCAGACTGTTAAGTAAGAATTAAATGACAGGAATCGAGTATTTGTGAGCTTTTAAATTCACATTTCATTTAAATGCCTGACTATAATAAAAACTGATTATATGTTAAGCAAATGGGAATGAAATATTTTTTACCTGTATTAAAGAACAAAAAGCCAAAGCTCAAGTGTAAACTATGGGCATATGAGGAGGCATAATGATGAAAAGCCTAAAATAATAAACTACAAATTTGCAGATTTTTCTTTTTTTTTTTTTCTTTTCAGGTTTTATGTCTTTTTCTGTCATTAGTCTTTTCATAATGATGCCAAATACAGCCACCAGACTGCTAAACCACCAACTGTTCATAAACTGTGTTAGGCAGCTGGTTTATAAGATCCTCGTTAAATCTAGTCCTTTTTCCAATAACTAAGATAAAATCAAGTAAATAGAACAATGGTAGAATCCTCTGCTACCACTCATTCAGAAATTAATTTCCCTGCATGCTTTTCTTAAGTAAAACCTCTCCCAGGTTGCATCCATCATTTTTACTGATGCTTATTGTCTGTAATGTTCTTTAGGGCAAAGATTCATGTTGCTGTCAGACTGGATTAAACAGCAACAGGTCAAAAACAGCCTTTCTGATCAAACATTTAGAATTTGCTGACTTAATTGGGAAAAAGGTAGCCATCTAATAAAGCAGTAACAGTTTGAAGTAAAGGTTTGAATTATTTAATGGGTTTTTCAAAAGGCAGTTAAATTATCTTAGACCCTAAACTGATTTCTATAACGTATCCATTCTAAGTTTATATCTTAAAGTTTTAACTGATTTAAAGGCTTTAAAATAGATTAAGACAGCTGAACAACAGCCTTTGTTTTCATAGGTGCATAGTTCACCAATTATCAGAAAAGAAGCTTCATGATCAGTACAAACCTAAGTTCTACTTTTAATTCCTATATTACCTATAGTGTTGGGTCTTTTAGATGCTAGATGGATGGGTGGGTTATTACTTGACTGGACAGTAGTGGCAGTGCAGGACACAGAGGATGTGGCAGCAGATGTGGCCATCACTACACGGTTGGTCTCCATGAAGGCATCCTGGAAATTGTAGAGACACTTCTTCTTGGCGCCAGTCTTTTTTGGCTCTTTGGCTTCTGAGGAGGAGCACGACGATGACGACGATGATAAAGACGACGACAGTGATGAGGAGGAGGACGTGGGTAGGGGTGTGGGCAGTGGGGGGTGCTCCCCTTGGAGGCCGATGGATGTTGGCGGAAGGGGCACATCAGGGAGCGGGGGTCCCAGCATTTCACCTGTGGATCAACACAAAGAGAAAAGCGTTGTTGACGAGGGACGGTTTGCTGCGATTTGTGATTTATGACACATGTTGCCTCTTTCTGCTGCAGTTCAATGGCTCACCTGGCAGACATTCAGGCAACAGCACCGATGGATTCCAGCTCTTCATCACAGCAGCATCCCAAAGATTTTCAAACTTAAGAGAGAGGCACTGTAGTGAGGTATTCCAATCGCCTGCTCCGCCTGTCCCACCAAAGCAGTTCTGGTATACATGGTCTGGTAATGATGTGCTGAAGGCCGGCTGCTTGGGGGATGAGTGGTGGTTTGATGCTGGATTTGGGGGCAAAGGCTGAAGGAAGGAAACTGTTATTAGAAGGGATTATAATGCCATCAGATTAGGATCAATTAAGTCCTCAAATGCTTTGGGCTTTCCTAGATCAGAATCAGACTGTCCCCTTGTGGTACACAAGGAAACTACACTGACAAAAAGCAAAACTGAAACCCATCTATGCTTAATGCTGTTCCTGGAACCTTAAAGAAATCCCCAGAGAAAACACACAAAAAAAGACAACAATAAATTCCCCTTAAAATTACTTTCATAGCTGAAAAGTGACACAAAAAATTATAGTAAAGGGAAAAAAAAAAAAAAAACCCTTCTCACCTTGTTGTGTGTGAGAGGTGGACAGGGAGGGAATAGTGTAGGGTGGAGGAGGGGCCGGGAGAAGTTCTGCAAGGGCAGGTGTCCATGGATGTGTGGGTATAAGTGGAGGGCAGGGTGTGCGGGGGATGCCTTGCTGTCTGTGAAGAACTGGTGTTCGACAGTGGAGGGAGGCACAGAGTGGAGCCGACTGGGGGGCAGGCAGGGAGCAGGGCCTGGAGCAGAGGAGTTAGGGTCCTGGTTGCACAAGTGGCACTCGCAGGCATGCTGGACCTGATCTACCTAAAGGTGGCATCAAATATTCCAAAATAAAAAGTACACCAACTGAAGCTTCAATCACAAAACATATACGTTTTCCCAGATTTTATTCGAGAAACCGACACCAAGTCAAGCATTACTGAGGTGGCCAAAAAAGTAACACGGTTTTACAGGTAAAACCTTACTTTTAAGGGTTTTGAATATTTGAATTGAAAAAAAAAAATAAAAAAGAGCAACACGGGGAAATCTAAAGTCAAAACCCAATTGTGATATATCCTGTTCATTGTTACATTTACATAAACTCATACAAGATTATATTCATACATAAATGATAGATGGCAGTTTAGGGTAAAGGTAAATAGATTAAGGCCTCAGAGGAGTGGCCTAATAGCCTTGAGTACATTAGAAAGGCTTGCATAAAGTGTTGTAATACCTGTTGGTGGTTGTAAGAGGGTGGAGGACTGTTAGTTTTTCCCAGGGAAAGTACTTCCTGCTTCCCTGGGGGCTCCCCACTGTTCTGACCATTAATTTCCTCCTCATCACCCTCCGATGAGCTGCTGCTGCTGGTAATCTGAGGGGACTGAGACAACTGTAAAAAGAAAGGAATTAAGAAAGCAGACAATTTCCACAAATGACCAGTAATCCATTATTAAATCATCACAGTCAGTTTCATCATCCAGAAACACAGCAGGGAAATTCACACCCGATCTTGGGTAATTTTGTTTGAACAGATAACTCACCCCTGGCTTGAGTGTTGCGTTTCCACCCTCCCCGTTGATGCTGTGATGAAGTCCGTTCACAGCAGCTGAAACCGCACTGCTGTCCTCATAGCTGTTCATAGGGTAGATGTTCCTAAATTTACTGGACAAAGGAGGCACTTCGTCATCGTCGCTAATGCTACAGTCAGAGAGGGAAGAAAAAAAGTCAGAGGTTTAATCATTGTTTGACAGTAAATGCAGGACTAACACCCAACAGTCACTAATGGTGCAACACCTCATGAGTGCACAAAGTATTGAATGTGTTATTACAAGGCTCCACATTTTTTTTATTTATAAAAAATAAATCACTTTTAAAATGTGTTTTTTAATATGTATGTGTATATATATATATTATTTTTTTGTTAAAAAGTAATTTCACAGCTTTTTTTTTATATCCGGGCTGACTACATTAGCTTTAAAGTCAATAAAACCAATTGTGAAAATGAGAATGGCCTGAACAGAACGTATCTAACTCACAGCCCGGTGATCCTCCTTCCTTTTTCCTAATCTTTACTAGTTGTTTGGGATCCAGAGGCAAACTTTATGCAGTTTAAATCCACTGACCATGTTTAAAATTCTCATTTACATTCTCTACACCACAAAAACAAAGAGTTCAATCCCCATCTGGATCATTTTAATTAATGTGCTTCTTTTTCCTTGTTCCACATCAAAACCCCATATATCAAAATAGGGATGCCAAAATTTTAAACCTAATCTCTGATGGTGTAACTTGTTTCCTAGACCTATTAAACAATATGTGAAACTAAATTTCATACTTTCCTAAAAGCTCTGGTGTGGTAATTACGAGTCCAAATCTGACCTTACAATCCCTGCTGGCTAATATTAGAAGACTGGCAAATTTGCTTACAAAGTGCTGACATCCCCTTCGGGAAGGATGAGCCTTGGATGCTGCTGAATTGTAATGGGAGAACTGGAGTTGGAGCCAGAAGCTGAACTGCCTGAGGAGAGGCTAGGAGGGTGCACCTCTGAAAGGTAGTCCCTGTGTGGCTCCCCTTGTAAAGGCAGCTTGATGTGAAGGTCCTCAGTGATGGGCGAGTCCATGATTCCACATGTTAGGATGTGGGAGAGACTGCAGTCATCACATGTGCACCTATAAGGAGAGAGATCATTCCCAAAAAACACGAAGGACATCAGAAATCAGTCAATTCAACAACAGTAGCTGTAACTTCTTAGTAAACTAGTACAAAAGCAACAACAACAAAAAAAGTAAAAATCACACTTTAAACAAATATAATTTGTTTGTGGGGTTGTAAAAAGAAAAAAGTTAAAATGCAAAATTATTGCACGGGTCCCTAAAACAAGCTTATTTGAAGATAAACCGATCTCCCAAGCTTTATTTTGACAAATTACTGGACATTTATTGAAATCCTGCTTTTGCTCCTAAAACAGCCCGTTTGGCACCTTCCAAAGTAACAAAGGGTTTACTGCATCTGATCGAGGCATTGGCTCAGCCATGGTAACTTACTTCACTAGCTGTGGTTTGCATAGGGACTGATAATAAATTCAATGATTTTGTCATAAGAGGAAATTAAAATGCTGTTTGCCTCTATTTAAAGGTTGATAAAAAAAAATGTGTAAATATATTACAATTGGATAAAAGCAACTCTGTGTCATCTTTTAGCCTAGTATAATAATTTGACATTAGTCTTGTTTCAGTCACCCACATGATATAAAAGATATTGGAGAAACAAGAGAAATGAAGAAAACCCTAGACATTTTAAAGAAAGTTATACAAGAGTATAAAATGCTCCAAAATGAGAAAAAAACATATGTTATTTTAATTTAAAGTCTAAAATATTTATTTAGCATTCAGGATGCCTTCTAGGATTTTTTTTTTATGATGGTGGTGGACTAATGGGGAAGGGGGCCATGTGAATGGGTGAATTGTGTTAACATGTATTTTAACTCAAGAATTTGCGGCTGTTGTTTTAATCTGGCAATGCTCCATGATCAATCCCACGTAATGGTTACCTGGAATTCATCTCGTGTCATTGGGTCACAAGATATGAATGTACTTTTTTTTTTGTTTATCCAGATTGTCTGGTTCAAATATTTATTGACGGTTACTATCAATATGTGGGAGGAGGGCGCTGCCACACATTATTTCTGAGCCAATCGCTCAAACCAGTACAGGTCAGGGCTATTGGACTACAGAGCATACCCTCCTATTTTGCCCCCACATTTTCTCGCTCTCTGATGAAAATGATGGTAAGAGATCCAACCGCTCTGTCAAAAAAAATCATCATGACTGGGGTTGCTCTGCTCGCCATTGTGTCCTGTGTACTGCTGAGAGCTGAAACTGTGTCCAAACCCCCTAAAAAATCCACGGTCCTCTAGGTACAAATTTTGTGAGATGATTTTCATTTTTTTTTTTTTTCACTTTTATGCGGGCAGAATAGTTTCTTTGGAGCAACCCAAGTTGTACTTTAACCCCAGCTGATGCAATGAGTAGCTTCTCATTTCTAGACAGTCCTGTTGAAACACACGTCCCAGGGTCATAGATGAGAATTTTAAGAAGGGCCGATTCAATGGCTTGCTTCAAGCAGACAAAATGTCTAAAGAGATTGCAGAAACTATCTTGGGTAAGAGGATAATGGGAGACCATACTTCTTGAGGAGGAAATGTGTATAGGAAGAAATCCTGATTGATGGTGAGCACTTAAAACATTCAGCAGAAATTAGGTATGTTTAATACTGTGGAGCATTTCCACACATGCAAAAAGGAAAGGAACTAATCAGGACTGAGCCGCTGTGTAGCCACGAGAAAAACACTCAGTATGGCTAGTTAAAAGAAAAGGCTACAGTTTACAGGTGAGAATAAAGTTCTACCCTGTTCCAGAGTGTTTAGTACATCAGGATGACAAGAAAAGCAGATTAACTGATCATGCCTGATGCTTATTTTGCAAGTCTGAGATGGGAGTGCTATGATCTGGGGTTTCTGCAGCTGGCCAGGTCTAGGTTCAGGAAAGTTTCCTCAAAAACTGAGTTAGCCGATGGCCTGAATATACTGGTTAATCCCTTGTGGATTGTTTTTCCCCTAAGGGCACGGCCATATTCCAAACTGACACTACCAAGATTCATTAGGTTCAAATTGCTCAAGAGTTGGTTCAGAAAACATTTTGAAACAGCGATTGGCCACCAGAGAGGTCCAAGCCTTAACCCCATTGGGAATCTTTTGAACAAGCAAAACAAGGCTTTGCCCAGTGGTCAGACTGTCCCATAATCAATACAACATATTGGTGTTAAACATTTTATGGGAACAATCCGGTGAAAATGAAGAAACTTGCAATGCCTCAGCAAATTAATGCTAGAATCAAAGCTAAAGGTGTTCCAATTATTAATGGGTACACTTTTTGGCCAGGCAGAAAATATGATCTATGCAAGAATCATCTGCAATAATAATATTGATAATTCCCCAAAAAATATTTTGATGAAACATTCCGCTTTAACAGGTTCCACAAAAAGCCACCGAATCTTCTGTAGGAAATGCAAACCAAATCTATAATAGAGTCATAACAGATCACTTTGGGAGCAGGGAAGGATTCAGTTTTGTTTTTTTCATAAGAAAAAAAATAAAAATAAAAACCTAAAAACATATGCCACTGAAAAAAATAACAGACAAGCCTATAATGACACAAACGTACCTTCTTCTATAATTACAGTTTGGACAATCGGGAATACTAAGACGGGAAGAGAGCATCCTCATAGTGTCTGTGAAATTGTTGTCTCCAGCGGAGGGTTTTTTACTGTTGGGTAACTAAAAAGATAAAATGACAAAAAAAATATATATAATAATTAGATTTATTTTAAACCTCCAACATGTCTGCCTCAAACACAAATCACCTACCTGTTCTTCAATGAACCTTCTCTGCTTGAAGAACTCCCAGTCCTCCTTTAGCATTCGCTGCTTTGTCTTTAAAGTCTTGACAGGAACAGATGATAAAAGTAACATAAAAATTGTATACATATATGTTTTATACGAATAGAGATAAAAGAGGACTAATAATCTTTAATTTAAACTTACATTTTTGCTGATCAAGGACTTGTGGGGCTCTGTTTTTTGGTTGGTCAGACTCTGACCTTCCACCTTAAAAAGTAACTAAAGAAAGGCACAAAAGAGTGAGAATAACCCTCAAATAAAACCACTTAGGCTGGACTTCGGTTTTATTTCTGAGGCAAATACCTGCTCATCTACATAATCATCAATCCTCTTTTCACATTCCTGCCACACACTGGCCACAGAACCCATCTCCTGCTGCAGCAGCTGGTATTTTTCCAACAAAGTCCGATACATGTCTTCATTATACGAGTCATGAGAGGATGTACCATGTCTGAAAAGAAGAAAAATTGAATTTTGGGGACCTGGCTAAGATGAAAATAGCACTCATCATGACTTCAATTTAGTAGAAAAACAAATACATTCCATATTTCCAATGTCATTACCAGATGGAAACAATATCTTACTTCAGCTGTGCAATAAGAGCCGGTAAACTGTTGTGTAGGATTGGTTCAGAAAAGACCAGATTCTCAAAAAGGTGCTTGTTGTGCAACTCCCAAGTCACCTGGAACTTCTGAAGGTGCTCATTCTCCTGAAACAAAAGAAAAGAGAGAAATACAGCAGTTAGAAAATTCCCATAAGGGGACCAAACATTCTTAATGAGCAGGAGAAGGGGAACTAACCAGGGTGAGAAGGAAGGTGCTGATGGTGCGTGCAGCCTGGCACAAAGCGTTGTACTCCTCCAGGAGAAGAGAAATAAACTCGTGGGCCTGAGGTGGACCCTGTGCTGCAGCCACAGTCCCTCCTGGAGGTCCTGCAGGCTTTGAGCCTCCGGAAAGGTTCTTCAGAAGCCGCACCTTCATTTCTAAGACATACTCCCGAGCCTGCTGCTCCAATCGCTGGTAGAGCTGATATGGATCTTTTACACATAGTCTGCATGAGAAAGCCACATAATGTAATGTTATGAGTTATTATTATGTTCAAAGAAGTAGCTATATATTTCTGTTCCATTTAAGGGACACGTTAGAAACCCTGCTCCGTTTAAGAAGAGCTTTAACAAGTCAAGAGAGACCTCTACTGGACAAATATAGACACTGATCATGCTGTACCTGTCCACCAGCTCCTTCATGCCTTCCTTATCCCTCTCTGAAGGCTGATCTTGGTCGTCTGCGAGCGGTGTTCCCGTCTGCCGGTAGATGCAACGCACTAGGTAACGAACCTCAGACCAGTGGTTCTGCAGCTGCTGCGACTCCCTCTCCGATTCAGCAGATATCTCTCTGTAATTTGAACAAAATGGTATAAAAACCCCAGTACTACTCTCCCTTTATTTGAAACGAGTTTCCCTCTGTCCGTTTAGTTTGAACTTGCCGTCTCTCGTTGCAGGTTTCACAGCTGCACACCGTGTCAGCAGGCATTGGAGCGGTAAGGTCTGGAGCAGGAAGCATGGGTAGTGTAGGCGCAGCAGTAGTGAGCCTGTCAGCTGGCGCTGCAGTCTGAGCCAGGCTTCCATTAGTCACAGGCATGTGCAGCAGGAAGTCCTGACTCTATTGCAAATACAGCAAATTAAAAAAGATAATTGTTTTACAATAATTACAAACGATATTTGTTTTAAATTCTAAAATATTGAATTTGCAATAACTTCCTCTAAAGAATAAAAACTAATTTTTTTCTTTTTTTTTAGAAGAAGAAACTAATACACACAAGGTTTTTAAGTTGGGAGACAAAACCTCTGATCTGAAAGTGGCTGTTGACAAAATGCTTTTTTTTAAACAGCAACAGCTGCATTTCAAGAAAGCTGTCTTATTTTCTCAATTACTAACATTGAATTATCTATTCAAACAGCACCAGCTATACAAGTCAAACTGCACAGTCAAATCTTTTTTTTTTTTTTCAGTTAAAACATATACGTATCACAACTAAATACTAATACACATCAATCTCTACACCTTTTGTTGAAAATATAACAGCTCAGATAATGTGTGAATCCTCTAATGCAGCTTATTATACATTCAGTACAGACATAGAAACATTTGGCAAGCCTGTGATATTATTTACTGTTATAATTGTTAATTTGCAAGATTCAAAAATTTCTTTAAATTTTTTTGCAATTCATTTTCATTGATTTTGATGTTGACGGGGTTAAATAAGCCATTGCTTTATTATGGGGAAGAGGCGATAAAACCAATTTCCCACTCTATAAAAGTACCGTATTTTCACGACTATAAGGCGCACTTAAACGTCCTTTTTTTCCCTCAAAATGTGCGGTGCGCCCTTTGGTGCGGTGCGCCCTATGTGTGTTGTAACTGCGACTTTTGAGACCACCTCATTGAGGAGATGATGAAAGAGTGGCTGAATGTAAGGAGACCAGGTGTTTTTTTTCCACTCATCACCATCGCTGTTAATATGTGACTCCATGCGTGCCCATCTCACAGCTGATGTGAAAAACATGGGGAAACAAATTAACCCTGTGCTCGCTGTTCAACCGCTCGACATCGGTGTGAACCGGACCCAGCAGGTGCAGCAGAAGCAGCGAGTTTAAATGCAAAGTTAATGGTTGACGCGCGTATAGGTGCAGCAAAAGGTCCCGCAGCGCGTTTTGAGCAGCAGGCGCTGCGACAGCGAGACAGACACAGCGCTCTGATGACATATGACATTAACGCAAATGAAAAGGGCTGGATGGATGAGGAGATGATGAAAGCGTGGCTGAGGAAGGTGTATGTGAGGAGAACAGGTGTTTTTTTTCACGCATCACCATCGCAGTTAATCTGTGACTCCATGCGTGCCCGTCTCACAGCTGATGAGAAAAACATGGTGAATCAAATGAACGCTGTGCTCGCCGTTATCCCGGGGGTCTGACAAAGGAACTTCAACCGCTCGACATCGGTGTGAAGCGGCCGTTCAAAGTAAGGCTGCGAGCGGCGTGGGAGCGATGGATGACCGACAGAGACCACAGTTTCAGGATAAGTGGAAGGCAGCGCCGGGCAAGTTACGCCACTGTTTGCGGATGGATTGTAGATGCTTGGACTAACGTGTCTGCTGGCTCTGTTGTTCAAGCTTTCGCAAAAGCAGGCATTATTTCTGAGGAGCTGCGCTGCACGGAAAGTGACTGACAGCGAAGAAGGGGAAACTGGCATGTCTGATTTAGCGCAGCTGTTTAATTCAGAAACAGAGGATGATGACTTTGATGGGTTTGATTAATACTTTGTAATAAATACATGAATAAAGCACAGTCATACTCAGTTTTGCTCCCGCTCTATTTTTCTACCTGAAAACTTAATTCAACAGCAGCCTCTGGGCGGGTCTCCTCCTCTTCACCGCGGCGGCTGGCAGGTGTTTTTTCATCTAAATAATCTAAATCTTGCAGCTGTGATGATATTTGCTGTGATCAGTGGGAATAAAGTAGTTTTAATATGTTTTAAGTGAGAAAGACCACCTGAAAACTTAATAATTGCAGTCAGTTCATCCAGATTATCTATTTCTGTCGGAGGCGCTCAGACGCCCACATACCAGCGGTGCGCCGACAGGAGAAATCCCTTCAACAGCAGCCTCTAGGCTGGGTAGCCTCCGGGTTCACCGCGGCTGCTGGCAGGTGTTTTTCATCTAAATAATTTTAGCTGCAGGCACCAGGATACCGGTAATAAAAGCGAACAAATTCCGTCGGCAGGTTTCAGGATTTGAAGTTAATTTAGGAGTGATCACAGCGCTGTGTCATCTGCGATGTGTCTGTCTCACGGCCAGCACCCAGGTTTGATTAATAGTTTGTAATAAATATATGAATAAAGCACAATCATACTCAGTTTTGCCCCCGCTGTATTTTTAAATACGCAGTAGAGGTATTTAAAGGTAGTAGAGGACATGTACCGTTATATAAAAAACGCGCCCTATAGTCCAGTGCGCCTTATGTGTGTGTTAAATACAGAAATGGCACGCATAACTGAGAGTGCGCCTTTTAGTACGGTGCGCCTTATGGTCGTGAAAATACGGTAATGAACTAATAACTGGCTGGGCCACACCTATCTATGTATTTTCTATATGTGGTATAAAGTAATTTATGCTGCAGTGCTTCACTTCTCTTTATGGAGCAATTTAGCCACATAGGAGAGATCTTTAGACAATGATAATGTCTCGGTTTTAAATTCCAGGCTTTGACTAGACCACTATAAAACAGTTTATTTCTTGAGCCTGATGAGATGGACTTACAGACCGGACATTCTCTGTAATGATTTCTGATATAAGGCAAGATTTATAATTCCTCCTACTGTGGAAATCTGCCAAGTAAAAAAGTAACAAAGAACACAACAATCATCAAGATCTTTTTTGGCACATGTGATACTTGTATTGTTTTAGCTCAGCATTAGTTTGGCCAACTCTGTCATGGATGTCATTGCTGCCTGGGCTCTTGGTAATTACGGCCTTTAGAGGTCTAGATGTTCTTCTGTGTCATTATCTTATTCATCATAATTTTGGTAGGCCCGCCACTCTTACCATGGTTACGTCTTTTCTCCATTTGTAAATGATTACTCTCACTGTGGTTCACTGTACAGTTTTAATGTCATTTACCCATTTATTACAGGCTGCAGTGTTTGTCCCCCAGGCTGCTATTCTTGTGACAAACTTGATATTCCGTGGAGCATATTTTTAAACCAAATTTTTTATTTTTTTTTAACGTACTCATGTTACCTCTCTATATAACAAGTTCCTTGACGATTTATAGTAGAGTAGACCACGACTGTTTAATCAGCGGCTTATGTATAGGGTTAATTTTAGTTTTTGGCTCATTAATCGACATCATCCAAAATGTGGACGATGTAAAAACAAAAAACAAAACAATTTTTGCTGCTGGATGCAGCATCTGCACTGTTCAGGTTAGTCGGGGCTCAAACAGCAGTAAGGCAAAAAAAATAAAAAAATACCCAAATTTAAGGCAATATCTTAATCAGCTCTACAAAAAATGATGATTTAGTCCTATGTTGAAACTGCTAAAATTAATGAAGCTTAATTAAATTGTATAGTTCTATGTTTCGTTTCTTTGTCTCGAATCATATTTATGATTATTAAGAAAATTTCAGTTGGACTATAGTTGAACAATGCATATCCCGTGTATTTCCATGTTCAGTTTTTTTAAATATTAATATATAAATAAAATATATATCGGCTTTTAAGACCCATATATGGAGGCAGTGATGAGAGAAATACAGATATAACTGTTCACACTGCATGTTAAGTCATAATTTGGTCGTCCTTAAATAAAGCTCACTCACCCCTAACGACTGCTCTAGAGTTGTCCGTCTGTCTTCTTTCTCCACTGTATGTCTACAGTCAGAGCATACCCACAGAGGCAGCTGCAGGGCACTGGGTGTGCTGGGGGGCTGTGCTGTGCCGTTCTGACCGCTGATACCAGCTTCTGAAGGCACATTGCTATCTTTGCGCTCGCATCGGCACAAAAGGCAGCGATCTCCAGCTGTGTAGGGCGCCCGCTGATTAAGGCCAAACGTGAACGGCGTCTAAGGAGAGATCGTGGGTGAAAGAGATCAAATTAACATGTGGAGTACACATGCCTATTTTTAAATAAACATTTCAATGACTTGTTACTAACCACTATTAGCCAGATAAACCTTTATAAACCAAATACAAAAAGAAAAGTTACCCTATATTTAGCATACAATCTTTCTGGTCTTTATAGTTAATATCACCTACTTTTTTGGCACATTGGAATTTTTACCATGACAGCAGTATCACCTAAATGGACCATTATTCTTTGAATATTTTTGTAAAATGGCAATAAAATCGCTTCAAATACACGGATGCAACTGCAACGCTTGCAATTCCATCCCAATGTTATGCCTTAATAAATACTACCGAACTAAAACCCATCATATCTCTGGTTTTAAGAAATTAATTCACAACAAAATAAAAAAAAAATTTTTTGACAGAAGTTGACTGCAGTGCTTCACATAAGCTAATGTTTTTATAATGCGCTCCAGTTACATTAAAGGATCCAATGCTGGCAGTAAAATCAAAGATTTCTAAGGGGTTAAAGAGGAAATAAAAACAAAGAATGGATATTAGCTTAGGAAGAAAGGGAAAACAACTGTTTGGCTTTCTATAACACAGTAGTGGTAGCTCAGCAAAAACATTATATCAGTTCAGCCTTCACCATTTTTTCTTAGTCTCACCTAAGAACAGGCAGGTCTCCGCTATCAAGATATTCTAAGATTTCAAATGGACTATATGGCGGTGCTATTAACATTGTAGCCTTGTAGCGATCAAATCCTGGTTTCAATCTGGGTATGGGTTTTTCTGTATTAGACTCAAATGTTGTCCTGATGCATGCTGGTTTTAAATTACCCTTAGGACTAAGTGTTTACTTGCAGGCTGTTGAAGCACTACCTTTCACTATTTGTAAGAAAAAGCTGTTCTAATGCTTAAACAGGCATGGTCTTTTCAGCAGCCACATGCAGGCTGGCTTCCCAGATAGTAGACTAATTATCAACTAATATTGATGCGACATAATTTACCATCTACCTACTTAGAAACAATTCATGTTACACATTCCCATTTTAATCTGTGTGATATCAACATTTGCTTCAATGTTATAAAACCATAAGAATTTCCTAGTAAGTTTTAAACCTACATCTCTGGGAGGTATGGTTTGTTTATTTTTAATGGCCAATAACAACTGTTATGGTTACTTTGAAATGGTCCATTTTTCCTTGTTAAGTAATTTTGATTTAACTTTCTGACATTGTTTCTAAGATTTGACCAGTTTGTACTTTCAGTTCTTCTAATTCCTGTGTATATTACTACATAGCAGATACAGAGGAGACAAACAGAACTGCATTAGGCGCCTTTTTATTTGATTTTTATAGTGATCAATACAGAGAAGCACTTTTTTCATTATAGTTTTCCAAGCTTCAATAACATTCTATAAGACTTCATACTAGGGCTGAAACGATCAGATAAATCATGACTAATCAATTATTGAAATAATCGTCAACTAATTTAGAAATTGATTAATCGTTAACTGTAGTGGAGAGACTGTAAAACATGCCTTTAGCTGACAGAGCAACCAAATAAGAGCAGTAATTGCATTTAAATTGAAGTATTCAACAATGATAAAACAGCTACACTGAAAATATGGTTAGGATATGTTCTATCTCAGATTTTTATCTTCAGAGTAGCAGTAAATTAAATCAGTGTATACTTCAGCATTTCTATTCTATTTGAATTATTTACTTTGTAATCTAAATATATTTCACACTTGTTCAAGAAAAAGAATAAATCCCAGATCATCACATTTTTACTGTTTCATGCTAAAACAGATTTAAGCAGAGAGACATTGCTGAAAATAAAAATTGCGATTGTTTTTTTTATTTAAATATTCCTCTGCAATAACCAAAAGCATGTGGTTAATGCAGAGGTAATTTCTTTTCATGACCTTAAAACTTTGCTCATCCAGAGTTACTGTCACCAAACGCTTACTTCTATTAGCATGCATGCTAGAAGTAAAAAAAAAAAAAACTCTCTGAATGCTTTTAACCACCAATAGGTCTGGAGTGAGAAAGTGATTGTTGGGGATGTGCAAAAAAAAAAAAAAATCAATTTCTGATATTAATCTTAAGGACCAATACATATAACCAAAGATAGTTATTTTAAACAAATTTTCCACTGTCCTTAAAGCCACCAATAAATACCATTACTTTATCAATTTGCTGCTGAATGTTAATAAAATACTGGTATCAATATGCTGCATCTATGCCGTAATTCAAGTGACAGCTCAAACTAACGTTTTTAATACCAACAATCCAATTTGCAATCAGATCTAATTCTACCCGATTCAAAAACCAACTGATTCTAAATCTTGAGAATCAGAATTGTATCTCTTCTTGAGTCTGAATGAATACCAACCCTATTCATTGTTTTAGGCTTATTTAATGCAACCCGACAAAAATTGAGAGCATCTGGGATAACAAAATTGGGTTTTATATAATCGCAATTACACTACAAATGCACTAAATTGCCCATCCCTACTTACAACAACAGCTAGTTTTTACTATTCTAATAGTCTGGAACATCTCAAGTGGAAACTTGGCTAGTCTTTGAGAGGATTTCACTTTAGCAAGGAGTAAAACACTCAAATTTTGTATATACATTTTTAAACATAAAATAGCTTCCATTAGGTGAATCTTTATATGAAACACAGAGCCCTTTAAAAATGCCTAAACGTGCCAGGATCAATAACAGAAACAACCATGTGTGGTAGAGAAAACTGTGCAGTAGAAATTCAGTTATTAACCAAGTTGAGATTTCAAAGTTAATTTACTGATACAGAGATGAATGCAAATGACTGACTTTAAAGTCAGGTCATATTCAGAATTCAAACTACTTTTAATATGAAACTATTACATACTGATCAATAAATGATAGGTGTTTTTAATTAAGAGTATTTTTTTTATGTGCTTTACTGGAGACATCCATGTTTGTCACCGAACACTACTGCCACCTGCTGGTTTGTGACGTCACGGTGTGGTATCGGCTGTTGATCAAGTCCCAGTGCTCTATCTGGTGTTTTTCACAACGCGCTATTATCCAAGTCATCTTAAAAACATTTTTCTTCTAAATGTTGGCTACATATGTGTTTTTTTCTCTGGCAGAAACTTCAATGTTAAATTCTCCCTCTTCAAGTTGGCAATCCAACTACGAACCCGTGGTGGATTATGAATTGGAAAGGTGATATAACTAATTTTTCTTTCACTTTTACCCAATGTATTACAACATCCAACTACCTGAACAGGGGCATTGTCAGTTTAACTATAGCTCTCACGAATGTATGGTGAAGTCCTCTCGAAATCTAAAATAATTGTTGTTGATTGCAGATGTGTCTAGTAGTTCCCATTGACTTTGCTTGTAAAGCGGGGAGAATGGCACTGGGCTTACCGCACTGTGACGTCACTGCTGGAAGATGTCAGGAGTGAGGTGTCACTATATTTGGGCAAAAATGGCCACTCTCAGACTCCGTGATCGAGACAAAACTGATTATTTTTATTTTTTTACTGATTAATGCTAAATTCATTCAATAACTACTAACGTATTAATTTTAGGTATAGATAATTGTCCATTGATCATTCCTTGCCAACCAGACTTTTCATTTAAACACTAAAAACCTGGACTGAAAACGAGATATACCTTAATAGCAATATGTGGGTAAGATAGATTTCTTTTTTAACCACAGAGGCTAGAAAGCTGTCAAAAAACACTAAGATATACATAAAAAAAAAAACACATAGCTATTGACGCCGGAGCAAATTTCATCTAGCCTCATTAAAAAGGCCAGATTTTATAGAAACAAATGCCACCTGTGTAGAAATATCCTTTTGGAGCTTTAGGAACTTAATTAAGAGCAAAATATAGAAAGACCCCCCTACAGTATTCAGGCTCGCCCTAAAGATGGCGCTTCACTAAGCATCCTGCGACATTACAGAATAGTAATGGCAATTCCCTCACCACTAACCTTTTCTCCCCCGAAAGAAAACCATAAAGTATGCTCAATTTTGCAGCCCTAAGCCACCACATGCAGCAACGTTACCTGCAAAAACTTCTCCAAAACATAACTTAGAATAAACCAACCTTGTTGTACAATGAAAATTATTTTTACAAAAACGTTGGTCCAGCATAGGTTTTCCCTGAACCTTATTTAAAGGATTATAACTACAGTGCAAAGCACGTCTAGAGAAGGAAAGCCACACATGAACAAATGCATAAACAGAGTTAATCACAGTATTCGCTGTATTTTGCTTCACAATATTTAATCTGTGACTGAGTTATGTTGACTTAATAATAAGCGATTTAAATTTACCTGAAGAACACCGGAGAACTCAGCGTTCACTGGTCCCTCTGCAAACTGAGGAGTAATGCTGCTGTTCCCTTTGACCTTAAGTAAAACAGAAATATATTATTCAAGTTTAGAAAAACATCTACAGTTTTTACAAATTAGCAGAATTAATTACATTTGTTTAACGTTTCGCAGCAATCCACAACATATTAAGTTCTGCATGTTAATGAGTAGTTTATATTTTAAGATTATGTGATTAATATTATTACTGCTAGTAACAACAATGACAATAAAACATAATAATATAAAACATGCACAGTGCAATAAGACTTTTATGGTACTGGATACACTTTTAAGGTAAGAATTAAAGCATAGCAAACCATGATAATGCTGATAATCTTTATGAATTTATATAGATAAAATATAATACTTTAATTCTATATCGTTGTATGTTCGATTTTGCACCTTTCTTGTGGTGTAAAGAAGTGTTTATATTAAAGTTGGATCATTTTAGGCTCATTAAACTCTTTTAAACCTTCAGAGCTCAGCTAACATTGTAAAAGGTTGAGCTTGTATCTACAGTATGTTGATTCTGACTTGTTTTATTGTATTTAACAGAGACATAAACCTCAAGTAACCAGTTTCTGAAATAAAGCTTCATAAAATACATTTCAAAATAGTGACATTTCTGACTTATATTAATACTAAGGCTAAGTAAGAGAGTAACTTTTGAATTAGCATTCATATAATTGGCTGTAAAACTGTATGTGCCTTATTGTTTACCTATGTTAAAGTTGTTTTTTTTTTTTTTATTTAGAAAGTATTAGCGGTTAGCTGCATATTATGTTGCCTCTGTGACCAAGCCGAATTGAAAAGAAGACCTTTATACATAACATAAACCTGTAAAACAAATCGAAAGCCGACGGGTACCTGGGTTGTTAATAGTATTAGCATTAGCTAGCATTGGTGGTTAGCTGTAAACCACCTGCGCTGAACCCTAATAATCTTGTATTGACCAAGCTAATCTCCACCTACACGGACTGCATTGGCTCATATTAATATGTCCTGCCGACAAAGTGTATGACGATGCAGACAGAATCTCTCAACTTTAGCTAACGTAAGAAAGTCAGTGTTCGCTCAACAAAGTTAGCCTAACGTTAACGACGAAATATAACAGTAGGTTTAAACATGTATATATGCTGGGTTCCAGGTTAAGTGACCGATACGATATTTCCAAACACGACGAGTATGTTAAGATGTAGTAAAGTACATTAATTACCAGCTATTCTACATGTATGAATTAGCCTGTATTCTTATGATCAGCTCTGGGCCCTAATCAGATTTATCGTTGGTAACACAACAGTAGTGACATTTTTCTGAGATGCATTCTTACCTCTCCATTTATGGCCGCGCTGGATCCGATATTTCCACTGCCGGGACTCCCAGATGTGAGGAAGCTGACGACCGAGGCAGGTGTTGGTGTTCCTGTACAGCCTAAGGCCGGTGCAGCCCCGGCCTTGCCACTGCTGCTATTGCAGACAGCACTGCAGCTACTGCCACCGCCCCGCTTGTTCTTCCTGCGTTTAGCCCCTCGTTTAGCATCGGTTGGACTCATTTCTTCAACGGGAGAGGGGAGACAACTCGCCGTACGGACTTTGCAGAGTCTCGGGCAGAATGTCCGTAGAAATCCCGCGGGTTTAAAGCCAAGAGAGCAATTAGAAGAGTGTCAAAACGATAGAAACCGAGTCCCATCAAAGTATAAGCCGACTGCATAGATTCCAATATGGCCTCTGGACAGACTGCTTCAGCTAAACTCTGCTTGCGTCATGACGCAACGTGCATGCCCCACCCAGGTGGTTGTGGGAAATCGAGTTTATTTTTGGAAGGTTGTGCGTTAGAAAAAAAAAAATAATAATAATAATACAAAAGAAAAGCACTCTGCGGTAGAGCATTAGGGCCACTGAAAAAGTTAATGATTTTTAGATTTTATTTCTGTATAATATAATAAAAAAGCCAGACTTCTGACTTTAATCTCAGAATTCTGACTTTTTTTCCTCAGAATTCTGACTTTAATCTCAGAAGTCTGAGTTTAATCTCAGAATTCTGACTTTTTTTCTCAGAATTCTGACAGCTAACAAACATGTTAGCAACAAGCCGTAGCCATGTCTTTTTTAGTTACTAAACTAGATATCTTGTTTTAATCAACTTCTGCTCTTCCCTTAATGATATAGCATCACCGGTGACCCCTTGGGCATGTAAAAAGTCGCCTAATTCCGTCATTTTCCACCAATGTGTGACTGGCCCTCTCAAACAACTCATCTTTGTCAGTGAAGCTGAGTGTTCCCACATCTCTTCCTTCTCCCAGAATTCTTAAAATAGTCAGAATTCTGAGAAAAAAGTCAGAATTCTGAGAAAAAAAATCTGAATTCTGAGATCAAACTTAGAAATCCGATTTTTCCCCATATTAAACTGAAATAATACTTAAAAATCAGTTAACTTTTTTTTTTCAGTGGCCCTAATCCTCTTCCATAGCGCTTAAAATGTGTATATAATTATAAAGAAAAAAAAGTCACCCTTCAACGTGACCCAATCTAAAAACACAATTGTTCTGTAAGGACCTCAGAGGTAAGTTAGGGAACTTTAGACAGCAACAGCATCATGAAGTTTTTAAAGCTTGATTTGAAACAGGAGCAGAGGTTCACATTGCAGCAGAATAACCCATTTTAGGCACACAGCTATTGGTTCAATAGAATGGATTAGATGAAAACGTATGCACTAGAATGGCCAACCCATAGTTCATAAAAATCTGAAATCTCTAACAAGACTAAGAATCTCTGTTAAAGATACTTTGACATGTTCAAAAGAATACTCATCAGCCATTGATTTTACACAATTCCATGATAGTCTTCAGGAAAATAATTGCTCCATTAAAAAGTATTGATGTATACGTTCAAATCAAGGCATACTTTTCTTTCCACTTCACAACCAGATATATTTTAGCACATACAGCTCTAAGTAACATATATTCATATTTGTGGTTGCAAAATGACACCATGCAAAACGGGTATGAAAACTCCTACTGTTCAGTAGTGCATTGTTACTATGTAATGCAGCATATTTCAGCAACTTTTCGGAACAACTTCACAGAATTAGATTTAAAATATAATTTCTGGTTTGATTACTCTAATCTTCATAAACTTTAATTGTATTTTTTTGTTGTTGTTGTTCGTTAGCAGAAATTGTCCATAAAGTTCGCTCCGATTAAAACCTGCTAAACTGCTATTACCATCTCCCACCAGAAGGGGGCTGTCGTGTACCACGAAGGTCTTTCTCTGACGATAATTAGCCGAAAGCCCACAGCTGCATTGGACTCTTTCCGGGGTCTAGACATTACGTCTGGCGTAGCTGTTGAGCGTTAAGGACCACTAATGTCACACTGTTAGCATATCTGCAAACTTTGCACCAACAGTCTCCGTAACAGCTTTGAAGAGAAACTCTCCTGGTTTTTTGACGGGGAGGCAGGACTTAAGGTTACAGTTAACGGCTGTGACGGCTAGCAGTTCGCGGCTAATATTTAGCAGCATCCGCAGACAGGTAATGTCTCCCAAGTTTACAGCATATGTCATCCCCCGGTGACGCTTGATTTGCTTCCCACTCAACGTTTTTTTGTTGTCAATTTCAACTTTCTAAAACTACTATATTAGAAGTTTTCCATGCGTCTGCTGTCGGTGTTGTCTTCTGTTTAGCTGCATTACCACAGGCTAAAAAACGTCTGCTAGTGAGACGTTCACGTCGTTTCAGTTGTGTGGAATTGTGTGTTTTACTCTGATGCATCTCACGGATTTAATGTTACTTTCAAAATACACTTTAAGGACTCATTCCAGCCACTAAAATAAAAAATAGTGACGATGATTGCTGACCTATACTTATTACTTTTGACGTCTCAGTTGGTCACGTGACACTCCTGCAACAGGTGATCCACCCAACCTTGCCCCTTGTATTTCTCCCTTCCGGGGTCTCTTGGTGGTTTTACAGCTGTAATAAAAAGTTTCAGCAAATGAGATAAAATCTATATTTTCAAATATACAGGCAAGTCGACTGTGAACATGCATTTATGTCCAAAGGTATAAACTAAAACTTCTAAAGAGAGTTGTTAGGGATGTGTTTTAGTTGGCTGTGACTGTGGGAGAGACTCTGACGGTGCAGGTAATGGTAGGGTTTGGCACTTCCCTAATTGTACTGGTAACATCAGTATGTGTAGCTTTGAGCTTTATTTTTGAAATCCTGCTTATGCATAGGAAACCTGCTTCCAACAGGTTATTGAAACCTAAAACCTACCCATGTTTAATTGCAAGCTCCTTTTAGTAAGATGTGTTGTGAGTTTCAGCACAGAATCTGTTGGATTCAGGACTGGGCAAAGACTGGAGTATTGTAACACATAAACATGCTTTGATCAGACCTGCTTTCAGACCTGCGTCCTGGAAACGCTTAATCTTCCATGGAGATATGGTGGATTTTCATTGATGTTTGGAGTTGGTCATTTGCACATAAACCATATCATTTACATTCAGGCTAAATTCTCCACAGTTCCAGTTAGATATGAGGTCATCTCTTGGTAGACTTAGTTTATATCGAGTTGTTGTTTTTTGTTTTTTGTTTTTACTTCCTGATTATGCATTGATTTGGGTTCTGTGGAGCGTATAGTTTGGTGTTCATGATGCTGTTTATTCTCAGAAAAATCCTCAGACTAAATTATACCTCAATGGAATCTGTTAACTCATTGTGTGACTGAGGAAGATAATTTGTTTAATATTGCTGAACATTCTAGGTGCCCGAAAATTCGGAGAGGAGACAAAAATCAATAAAAAACTGAAGATGGAATGATGGGAAGACAAAGTAAAAGAAACATCTATGACAAAGTGTAGGAAAGCAGATTGAAATGGGTTGCTAAATGACCCAGTAGAGAATGTAATGAACTGCTCTGACAGTGTATCTGACTGTCTGACACATCATTTCCCTGCAGGTATTTTTCTCTGCTCTGTGTTAGTATTTACTCCTGTAAATAAATTTTGAAATTATGATATTTATATTTTTTTCAGTTTTATCTTTTTAAATATATCTTCTGCTTCCCCTGCACCACTTTTAACATGTTTAAAGAAACCCCAGCTTTTATTGCTCTGTTCACTGTCATATAAAAGGAGCTTCACACAGATCCTTATCATACCCGGATGCATATTAAACATTTTATGTAGTCTGTGTACAAGGGTCATTTACATTTAAAAAGTTTTAAATCTAGTTCAATTACACTTTAGCACACTGTAGTCAGCTTTAATCATAGCAAACATAAATTCCCAACAACAAAATTGTAGCTAGTATCTGTGGAAAGCCACTAGCTATGTTAGCTGGCCAGCAAAAAAGTTCATGACAAGCTCTTTTTAGGGGTATTAGAATAAAGGGTCTAAATGCTAATTCTGTTCAGATTTTTCTTCATAAAATATTTGACTGCAAACTTTCATTTTTATTTGACTTTACTTTGGTTGTAGCACAAATGTGAAAACATTAAAGGGTTAGCAATACCTTTTTAGTTCATCTTTGTTTTGTATGAAGCTCTATTGCTAACTGCTCCAATATCTAAAGTATATAATCTTCCGACACTGTAGGACTTTTTCATCCTGTCCTGTATGTCTTGTTTTCAGGTATGTCTGAAGTTAGTCTTGAGGCTGAGTCGGGGAAGACCTCAGCTGAGGACCCTCAGATGGAATGTGAGGAAACTGATAAAGCAGAGGAGAGTTTGAGTGACGATGCAACCCCAGAAATTGTTGACAGTAGCAGGAAAGGAGAGGAAAAAGCTGATGTACTCTATGAGATCAATATTAACAGTGATGAAGAAAATACAGAATCCTGTGATAAGGAGATGGATAAGGGTACCCGGGCGGGAAATGTGTCCAGCAGTGTAGGCAGCAAGGCTAAACACCAGGGTGAATCGGCTGAAACATCAAAGGGAAGTGGAGATTCTCTTTCTGAAACAAAGGTGATATTTACCCTCATTTTATAAAAAAATAAAACCCCTTCCTGGCACTTCCTCTCTGCGCTCTTGCTTCGCATTTTAATTCCTGATATGCAGTGATGGTGGCGGTTTCTTCCTATAAAATACTTTTATTTTCCCTTTAACCGTTTTTTTTATTTATGTTCTCCTTTGAAATGGGTAAACAGGTTTTTCATTTTCCGTCTTTGCATTAATTTGATGTTGTGTGTTATATTTAAAATGCTCTGCTGGAGCTTCAGGAGAATCTGCAGAATTTGGTGGTGGACTTGGTAAAATTTCTGCTAATTGGCTATTGCTCTCTGGTGTGGCTTGTGTACAGGTGCTGGTCATAAAATTAGAATATCATGAAAAAGTAGATTGATTTCAGTAATTCCATTTAAAAAATGAAACTTGTATATTATATTCATACATTACATACAAACTCATATATTTCAGATGTTTATTTTGTTTAATTTTGATGATTACAAATGACAACAAATGAAAATCTCAAATTCATCATATCAGAAAATTAGAATATTGTGAAAAGGTTCAAAATTGATGGCCCCTGGTGCCACACTCTAATCAGCTAATTAACTCAAACCACCTGCAAAAGCCTTTAAATGGTTTTTCAGTCTAGTTCTATAGGCTACACAATCATGGGGAAGACTGCTGACTTGACAGTTGTCCAAAAGACGACCATCGACACCTTGCACAAGGAGGGCAAGACACAAAAGGTCATCGCTAAAGAGGCTGGCTGTTCACAGAGCTCAGTGTCCAAGCACATTAATAGAGAGGCGAAGGGAAGGAAAAGATGTGGTCGAAAAAAGTGTACAAGCAAGAGAGATAACCGCACCCTGGAGAGGATTGTGAAACAAAACCCATTCAAAAATGTGGGGGAGATTCACAAAGAGTCGACTGCAGTTGGAGTGAGTGCTTCAAGAACCACCACACACAGACGTATGAAAGACATGGGTTTCTGCTGTCGCATTCCTTGTGTCAAGCCACTCTTGAACCACAGACAGCGTCAGAAGCGTCTAAAGAGAAACAGGACTGGACTGCTGGTGAGTGGTCCAAAGTCATGTTCTCTGATGAAAGTAAATTTTGCATTTCCTTTGGAAATCAAGGTCCCAGAGTCTGGAGGAAAAGAAGAGAGGCACTTCATCCACGTTGCTTGAAGTCTAGTGTAAAGTTTCCACAGTCAGTGATGGTTTGGGGTGCCATGTCATCTGCTGGTGTTGGTCCATTGTGTTTTCTGAGGTCAACGCAGCCACATACCAGGAAGTTTTAGAGCACTTCATGCTTCCTGCAGCTGACCAACTTTTTGGAGATGCAGATTTCATTTTCCAACAGGACTTGGCACCTGCACACAGTGCCAAAGCTACCAGTACCTGGTTGAAGGACCATGGTATCCCTGTTCTTAATTGGCCAGCAAACTCTCCTGACCTTAACCCCATAGAAAATCTATGGGGTATTGTGAAGAAGAAGATGCAATACACCAGACCTAACAATTCAGAAGAGCTAAAAGCCACTATTAGAGCAACCTGGGCTATCATAACACCTGAGCAGTGCCACAGACTGATCGACTCCATGCCACGCCGCATTGCTGCAGTAATACAGGCCAAAGGAGGCCCAACTAAATACTGAGTGCTGTACATGCTCATACTTTTCATGTTCATACTTTTCAGTTGGCCAACATTTCTATAAATCCTTTGTTTTTATTGGTCTTCAGTAATATTCTAATTTTCTGATATGATGAATTTGAGATTTTCATTTGTTGTCATTTGTAATCATCAAAATTAAACAAAATAAACATCTGAAATATATGAGTTTGTATGTAATATATGAATATAATATACAAGTTTCACTTTTTAAATGGAATTACTGAAATCAATCTACTTTTTCATGATATTCTAATTTTATGACCAGCACCTGTATTTCTGCATAGAATATGCATTTTCTATCTCTGGCTTATTGCAAACTTATTGCTGACATTTGAATTATCTTGTTTACCATGAAATGACCTGTATATGTATTTCATTTTGTTGAAAAGTGTTATACCTTAACTGGCAGTGAGTAATGACTTCTCTACAGATTGTACTGTAAGCTGATTGGGGGGGGGGCTCAGGGACTATTGATTATTGCGCAACAATGTACAGTTTTTATTTTATTTTGTGTTCTTTTATTTTTATTATTACAATCCAACATTCTGGAGCACATTCTGTATTTAAGAGGCGAACTGAACAATGAGATTGTTTTCTCCTGTTACTCCCAAACCATTCTCGCTTATCTCCAGAACAGTCAACAGTGGGATTTACAAACTATACCTTGTTCCTTTGCATGGCCAATTTGCTTGAAGCCACCGAAACATTGTGTGTTAGCAGCAGTGGGTTAAGCTGTTGAGTTGCTGTCTTTACAAACAGTGGAAGACTGAAATGTCTTCTTTGGTTGATGTTATGTCCCACCTCAGGTTTGCAAATAAAAGGACTAACAGTTTTGCTGAACATCTTATTAAAAAAAAAAGGTTAATTAATTATTGCACAAAGCTGTTATTTCTATTTTCTTCCTTGTTAGCACTAACGTACCGAATCAGATGTAAGCGTGGACTATTTGATTTGCTCCAGTCTTATCTTCAGCATGCAGTTTGACAGGTTGAGCCAGGTGTACCTGTGCTTCCTACCTGCATGATGTATCCAATGACCTTTAAGTATTTATGGATCTGACGCATTGATACAGCCGGCAAAGTACATATGCGAAACTGAACTAATTCTATTTGCTTTCGCTTTTTGGATGTAGTTTTTAAAGCTGAATTTACCTATTATTATTTACTTTTTAATTTGTTGCAATAAATTCACAAATCTTCCTAATTTTCCACTTCAGTGTTACTATATTAACCAAATCCTTCATTAACCTTGATTCTAAAATCATAGCGAAAATAATTTTAAAATAGTTTTGCATTATATTACTACTAAAGCTGCATCCATTTGATATTAATATCTGAATTGCTCCTGAGGTTAAAGGAAGTCTGTTAATGAGTTCTAGATAGAGCATATTGACTGATGAAAAAGTTTTTTAGTTTTTTTTTAATATATAAATATAGATATAGATGGATATAGATATATATCTAGATATAGATATTTTTTATTATTTTTTTTTACAATTCTGATGTAATTACTGCTCTAAGCGGGTTGCGTTGTCGGCTAAACGTATATTTTAGAGTCTCTATTAGTCTCTACTACATTAATTAACAATTATTTTAATGATTAATCTGATTAATTGTTTTAGCCCTTGTTCACACTGCAGCCTAAAGTCCAATTTCTGTTTTGCCAGTATGCAGCCTGTATCTGTCAACCATGGCAGACGATAGTGCGGAGGGAACTCTTTTTCGACCTTGAAAGATTGTGTTGTTAATGCACTGGCTGAGGTTGGGAAAGATTGCCAGATGTGCTTCAGCACTACCATCCATGTTTACTTCTGTAAACACAGAGCACACTCGCATGTGACGTCAGTACATCCTCTACTTGGCAGGCGGGACACATGTTGCGTGAATGCAGTTCACACAGGAGATCACATACAATTTCCATATATTTGGAAATGTGAACAACTATGCAAAACAATGGGATTTCACCAAAAAAATGTCATAGTTTAGCATTAAGACCTGCAGTGGGAAACCAGCCAATGTCTGCCTTTCCTGACCTTATACCAATCTTAAATTTACTTTTGTTATATGTACATTTGTACACATTAGGATGACCAGATTTCCTCGAATAGAGACGAGCACTGACATTTTGGAACTTGATGATACCAAGCACAGATACGAGGGTTAAAAAAAAAAGGCTTTGTCAAATTGATAATCTAAAATACCGATCAAAGTCAGACTTTTACCTTGGATCCAGTGCACCTTATTTCTAGTAGAGGGGGCTTTTTTACAACAAGGAAAGGACCCCTGTCAAGATAAACCGAATTGTTTTGATACTGTGATCTTTGTCAGATGTAGAAGTTGTATTGGTTCAGAGGATCGCGTTGGTTTTTCTATTACAAGTACTTGATACTAGTATCGGGCACGATATCAGTACTGGTGCATTCCTAATACACATTATACGTGCTTTTAGAAAGGAGATTATGACGGTCTCTAAATAAACTCAACAGTAATGATTCTAACAATAAAGCAAACAGAACTCTGAGAAGTATCAAGATCAGAATGAGAGCTGAGTTTTTTTTTTTGGATTTAATATAATAAAATTTACCCCTTTGAAAAAAATAAAAAACAGGCTTTAAAAGACCAGGATCCAGTTAGATGCTGATATGGTCGTTATCTGCATTATTCACATTCTGCTTGGTAGGTAACGGATCTTGTTTAGAGTTGCAAATGAAGATTTACAAACAGAAAGCTACAGCTTCTTATAGTGAGACCTTGCAAAGTAGCTTAGAGCATCATGCTGATTAGGTCAGTGTCCTAGTTTCCAGGTCCACAGTGATTTGGGTTGTAAAATGAAATGGAGACTAAGACAACTCTGCCTTCTGCTTCTGACTAGTGTATGTAAAGCATGTTGCAACACTGGGCCTTTCCTGTGATTTAGCTCACAGATGTTCAACTAAACTGTTGACCGTGTCAGCATTTCTCAAATTGCTGCACATTCAGGATATTGCTGCAGAAGCTGGATTTTTCTCCCAGGTTAACAACTGCAAATGTTACAATCTTTGATAATTCCTTTCTGAGCTGTTGGGTTTTTTTTTGTATATATCCCTGGACAGAGTTCCTCTGGTTTTGGGTCAGCACCTCACAGACTGTGCTCCATTGTTTTTTTTAGGTACATTTGTTTTTTTTCCTTTTCAGTAATGAAATTGTACCACGCATTAGAGTGGTGGGTAATATAATACAGTAGACTTGGATGAGTGATGTCACTGTAAACATAAGACCCAAACAAACACACGTGGAAGCATTTTGCTCTTAGTATTGTTAGTCATTCTCTTTGAATCTCGCTGTTTTGTAATCAACCAGAAACCATGTTGTAAAACATGGGACTGATGTTGCAAGAGAGCTGCATATGTTGGTCAACAACTTATCAAAACCAACCACTTTAAAACCCTCTATCAATCTGGTTCTATTGTTTAAAGAAAATCTAAGCATAAAGTAATTCAGTCTGACTTTTTGTTATATGTACACAATTCAGTTGCATCTGCAAGTCTTTTAGAGAATATTTCTATACTCATTCATTCAAGCTGCAGCAGATCAAATGAGTCTAAAGGCAGTCACGTTGCTGACTATCTATGAAGGTTTGATGTTGAATATCCAGAACTCCTCAAATTGCATAGTTTTAGTTTCATTTGATTTAATTTCCATATAAATTCACCGTTAATGCACATTTTGCTATCACATTATGAATCAATTCATCAAAAAAAAAAAAAAAATGACAGATTAATCTGAGCAAATTTTTAATTGCAGCCTTATTCATTTATAGACTTATTTTGAAGTTTGTGGCAGCTACTGCACAAAATGTGATCATCCAAAAGGTGTGAATACTTTGCTGTGTGTTTGGCTGATTTCAGAGCGTTGTGTAGTCCTGTTTTAAAATCGGATCAATTGCTCAGTTATGCATCTGTTTATAGATTGTTCTGGTAAATGTTTTAGTTTTGGTGGCCACAAGGTGGCGGCTCACATGTTGTTTCCCTGCAGAGGATTGTGAAATCTGCTCTTTCCTGATCTGATAACGCCTTCATTTCATCCTTGTTCTAGGAGAGCACAATGGCTGATTCTCATAGAGGCTCAGCCGCTGAGATCCCAGTCACCAGCAATGGAGACCTGGATCAGAGCCCCGAGAGAGTTTTTCAGAGGGTAAGGCCCTGATCCCAGTTTGTTTTTTAATTGGGTGTATCTGCATCTTAATTTCCCCAGAAATATCATTTGCATCACGAGTGTTGTCTAATTCGTTTTTGTAAACATATACACATGGTACATTTAAAAAGAGGGCAGTGTGCAGATCTCTATACAGACAGTTTATTAGGTTCCACTTCCACTGTAAATCTAACTTTAATTTCCACAGGATTCCCACTCCACTAATCCAGGAGCCATGAAGGCTTCCGATTCCTCACTCACCTCCAGCAACTTTGAGTCAACAGCAGAGGGCATCATTGAATCGGGACCATACAAAGGTAAACAAGCGTCCCTCCCTGCTTTTTTACTTTGCTGTTTTCTGTTTGCAGTCCTAATTTTTAAAGCACGAGTTCAACAATCGGTCAGACTTTTCCCCCCTTTTATTTGAATACTGATTTTGTCCAAACGCAGTTGGGTTTACAGACTGCATGTGTCGCAGTGGTCCGCTTTTTTTTTTTTTTTTTACATTGCTTGAAATGAAAGGCTAGAATTTGGATGAGTGAAGCTGATTTAAATGTAATGAGTTGGCTCTGATCTCCTGGTTGTAACCCACATGTCCTTTTCATCATCATGTGCTTGTTAGAAATGCTAATAAAAGCCTCCCTATAGAGCAGGGAGCTGTTGCGGCCTGTTCACTCAGTGTTGCCATGGCTATTTTCCATGTTATTCTCACCAGCTGAGGATACCTTTTGTTCACTGCGCACTCTGCAGCTGTAAAGAGAAGAGAGAAACTGCAAACATTTATGGGAATATCCCATTTAGAATTTCATGGTTAGAACTAAATATGCTGATGATTCCCAACTTTGAATATCTCTCAGGGTCAGCAAGCCTACCCTCTTCTCTTGTGACACCTGTAGCTCCAAGCTCGGCTGTCGCTAGCCGCCTGGCACGCTCCTCCAGCGATAGCCAGGCGGAGAAAGGTACCAGAAGCAATGATGTTTGAATCAGCTGGCACTAAATCACAACCTAAATGCACTTTAATTACTTGCTTACCTGCTGCTTTTTTCTGCAGGCTTGCTTCACCTATTATAACAAAACTATCTTTCCCTTTCCACTTACTGGCCCTCCAAACACGTCCTCTGCTTCAGTGTGCGCTACAGCTGAATTAGTTTTAAGAATTTTTCTCATTAATTTAGATGTAAGCTCTTAAAATGTATTTTTTTTTCTGGGGGGAAAAAAATCCTTGCATTTTCTTGCTTGCATACCTTTATTTTCCTTGCAGAAGGGGGCACAGAGTTTCCTTATGTTTATAAGACAACACATTTTCATGAAACTGAATTTAATTCTGGGGATTGATGGCAAATGTTTAAATTGCTTAGGTCAGGATTTTCATAATCTGGTTCACATTTTATATTTTCATATTTTAGGTGTGACCTGACTCAAATGGCTAAATTATGTCCTCAGAATGTAGCCAAATTCTTTATAGTAGAGCCGAAGAAATTGTGAGTTGAATTAGGTCTACTGAAGCAGAGAAACATCTAAATGTTTTAGTGCAGTAGTCCTCGAGGACTGGAGTTTAACACTTGTTACTTTGATGTTTAAAGTTCTGAAAACATACTAGTAGCTTCCAAAGGCTAACTTTAAAATAGCTTTACAATATATAAAATCTTATTCATTATTGGAATATCAGTTTCTACATTATATTGATCGCAAAGGATTGCTAAGATGCATTTTTGGTAGATGGTCTTATTTTAGGCAGCATGCATTTAAACTCTAGCATCTTATAGTATATTTGGCCGTTTGAATTGACCTCCTTTACCACAGCAGATATAAATCTTAGTGAGTTAATTGCAATCAGTACTATCATCAGTGCAAAAATTAGCAGTACCCGCATAGCTTGAACAGGTAAAAATACAGTGAGTCTGATTACAGATGCAGTAATATAAGGGATTAATATTTTACTTTTAAATATAAACTGCAACTGGACCAAAATATCCCTAATTTTTCAGTGTTTCTCTTTTTCATACCTTCATCATGTCTGTAAAAGAAAATCTTATCTAACTTCATCATTAAAGTTATATGGTTTTCACTTGAGTTATTGACATTCTCTGTTTATTCCAACAAAAGATTAAGAATGCGAACACCTAAATGTGTTTTTAGGGCTTCTGTCTGTGTCGATGGTCTAAACAAACTGTTGTTAAAAAGCATAGTTGTTAGCTTGTATCTTGATTTTTTTTTTTTTTTGCTTTCTATTAATAATTTAATAATGTGAATGACTTTTGACTGTCCAGACACAATGAAAGCTCAGCCCACCAGCGGGGCCGTGGTCCTTTCAGACGACTTGAAGAACCCAGCCATGGAAAAACTGGACCTTGTGAGAAAATGGAGCATCAACACATATAAAGTAAATCTCTTTTTGCCTGCTTTATTTATTTTTTACTATCCTCTCTGTTTTTGCAAAGTATTTCTCTTTATTTTTTAGTATTTAATTTCTCTTGAAACAGGTTTAACAGAGTTCCCACTAACAACACGATTGATAGGTTATCCCTTTCTTGCTCTAGACGTTTTTGCTCAACTATGCTCCTGTAGGTCATTTCCGCACCCTCTCAGTAGTCTTCTCTCTGTATATGATACAAAAAACACCCCCCAGCCTTTGTTTTGCCCTAACTCCTCCCAGTATTAATGCTTGTTTTAACAAGGCCGCTCTCCTCTGCAGTGCACCCGACAGATCTTGTCAGAGAAGCTGGGCCGAGGATCAAAGACTGTGGACCTGGAGCTGGAGGCGCAAATTGAGCTTCTCCGCGAAAATAAGAGGAAGTACCAAATTGTGATCAAGCTGGCTCAGGCGCTGGCCAATCAGCTGTCCCAAATTATGCAAACTCAGAGGCAGCTGGGTGATGCATTCGCTGACCTTAGCCTCAAGTCACCTGAGCTCCATGTGAGTCGGACCTTTTAGCTTTAGTCATGTCTGTTAAAACGCTGTCTACAAAACGAAATGAATGCAACCTTTCAGTAATCGTAGCCCTGCTATAGACACTTTCTTTCCTGGTTAAAACAGTCAACAGTCTTTTTTTTTATTGAATTTGAAAAATTGTCCCTCCAAACCTTAAAAGCAGTTGTATGTTTATGTTCTTACTATTGCTATATCCTATTTATTCTGTGGGGGAAAATGTAATCAAAAGCACATATTAACATTAAACATACATTTTAGGCTTTTTTTTTTAAAGCTCTTCATATTGTTTTTCTTGAATTTGACAGCTTAACATGTTTATTTCAATATGAACATAATTTTTTCCATTAATGTTGCTTAGAAAGGATGGTTTGTTCTGCTTCAAGGTGTGCCTGCACACAGATGTGGACAATGGTTCTTAAAATCATTAATCTGACCCATAGCTGTTTTCCCAATTCAGATCTTTTGACATAAAAAAGAACATCAAAGGTGTATAAGAAAATAATCCAAGAGGGATAAGACTGGAATAGCGCTGGGAATACAGGGAATACAGGTTTTTAAAAAAAAACAAACAAAAAAACATGCGATTATAAAAACAATTTCGTCAGATATAGTATATGCCAAAGTATTTGCGTGGAACTGCTTCTTGTTGCTACTTGTTGATGGCATTAAAATAATTTCTAAGAGCATTAAATTAGAGTTACTTATTCCTGTATAAACCCTAAGTTTAAACGTGGTTTTAACTGAAGCAGGGGCTAAAGCTGTGGAGGCATTATTAGCACTGATGGCTGTGCTTGCAGTTTTCTATTACAGCTGCTAAAATTCAGAGATTCAAGATAAGATTAAAATCAAGGCTCATCAACAACACACTTAGTGAGAAGATTTTAATTTGTTTAAATTGTGTTAATTCCAATAAAAAAAGGTTTTAATCCATTCTTTCTTTCCTCCTCTGCTAAACTGATTCAATGTTGTTGAATGTTGTCCCCTTGTCAGAAATCTGAAAATGTCTGCAGGTTTGCTTGAACAACTTAGACAAAATAAATTTTTTGTCATTATTAATTTTTCCATCAGGAGGAGTTTGGCTACAACGCAGACACACAGAAACTTCTGTCAAAAAATGGAGAGACGCTGCTGGCTGCAATCAACTTCTTCATCTCCAGTGTTGACACCCTTGTCGACAAAACAATTGAAGACACCATGATCAATATCAAACAATATGAAGCTGCCAGGTAATTCCTGTGGGACAGGCCTTAGCAGCAGGTCCAAGTTTTTTCTGGTCATTTTCTGCTTGTAATGCATAAGTTTATTACCTTTATTTTTATTTATCTGATTTACATTCTTAAATAAAACCTCTCAGGATTGAGTATGACGCATATCGTACGGATTTTGAGGAGCTTAACCTTGGACCGCGTGACGGCAACACCATGCCGAAAATTGAGCAATCCCAGCAGCAGTTCCAGATCCATCGTGAGAAGTTTGAAAGAATGCGAAACGATGTATCTGTGAAGCTGAAGTTTCTGGAAGAGAATAAGGTTGGCTTCTTGTCATTCCTACTATAGTAATGTACAGATGTAGACACACTCGTTGAGTTCTGTCTTTAAATGAATTCAGATTTTGTTGCTGTAGCATGATCTCACAGAACAATCTGAAAAAGTATATGCCACATTCAAAAAACTTACAAAACTCCATCGCCTTTTTTAGCTAAATTTTTTGTCAATACCTTTTAAAATTCAGTTATTCACTGACAACATTTAACAAATTAGAACTTGAAGGTGCCTTTGACTGGGTTATCTGTAAAACTGGTGCTGTTTTATGCACTTCTTCCTTATTGCACCTCAAAGGGTTTCTGTAGGATTTAGGTTTGGGAAATATTGCTGTTTTAGTTTTGTTTAAACATTTCTGTGTTAATGCTTCTTGTCCTTTACATTGTGATCCTGCAGAAAGTGAAAATGAGAGCCCATACTCTGTTTACTTGTACAATGTCTAGATTTGAATATAAAATCTGTTATTTCAGAGTGATGTGGTGCAATGCTCTCAGGGTCTTATGCTACTTTCACACCGCACACTTTGTGCAGCAAAAAAGCACCTGCTGCTTCATTTTTTAGGCTTGTACACATTAAGCTCAGACGCGCATCAAGAGAATTTTTTATCCTCCTGAAGCGCGTCCAGTAAAGTGTCCAGATGCATCTGAGGCTTCTGCTACTCCTGTGTTCAATTGCAGAGAGCGACTTTGCTATATTTGCTGTGATAAGCTGGTGAAAAGTAGTCTTACGGGAGAAAGTCCACCTGAAAACATTGCCTGTTCAGTCAGGCAACTGGCGCGACAGAAGCAGCGAGTTTACATGCAAAGTCAATGGTTGACGCGCGTCAAGGCGCAGCAAAAGGTCCCGCAGCGATAATAATCTGAATGAACTGACGGCACTGATTACGTTTTCAGGTGTATTTTCCTCATTTAAACACATATTAAAACTACTTTATTCCAAATGATCACAGCAAATATAGCTGCAAGGCAGAGAAAGGATAGTGAAGCTCCGCCCAACACGCGTCAGACACACTTTTGCACCGCGCAGCCAGAGCAGCAAAGCTGCTTCCGCCACGGTTCAGAACTAACTGGTACAAGCAGCAAAAATGAAGCAGCAGACGCGATTTTTCTGCTTTTGCTGCGTGAACGTAGCATAACTGCACAAAGATCGCCACTGTGCTTGCAACGAGAATGCTTTTAACTGGGGGCGTGTAGCAGTTCTCGCCGTAAAGCAAGACTGACTCTCGCAAGACTTCTGAGCCTGTGGGTGCGGGTCGGTGCTCCTGCAATTGCAAGTGCAGTATTTCCCCCACAGACCACCAGGGCGGCCGAGAATACCTTTGTTCAACCTGAAATGACTCAATCATCCAAAACGTTATGGAACACATTAATTAACTGAAAAATGTTGCATAGTGTGCCTTTAAAATATGATTTTGCTGTCGGAGGCGCTCAGATATCCACTTACCGGCAGTGGGCTATCATTGGGAATTCACTGCAGCTGGGGGGTTTCCAAGACTTCCAGTTCATATGTTGCGTCGAGCAGCAAAAGTTTTCCAACTCCAGCAGCCTCTGCTTGTGAAGCGCGTCACACGAGTCAGCCTGTACACCTAAATTCGGCAAATCATATATCAATGGTCATGTGTCAATCTAAATTTTTCATTCATAGCATCTTGATTCATATGTTGCAGCTAATATATGCAATGGTTGAAATAAGAAATTTGAATAATTTACTTTACCATTAAGTTACTAGCACTAAGTTGCTAACTGGTTAACAAAATGCTTCGGAGACACCGGGCACAACCGAACTTACTTGAGAACCTTCCGCCACAACAATCCCGCCCCCTTGATAATCACATTCATTTTATTCACTTGTGTAAAGTCGTGCACCACTCGGGAGAATTTGGAAATGCAACGGTTGGAACAGCAGCTTCCTTACGACTTTAAGTACATGCTGTACTTTTTACATGCAAACCAGCTGCTTCTGCTGCTTCAACCGCATGCTTCCTGAACGTAGCATAAGGAGAACAACCAGTCCACATCCTTCCTGATCCCCCCCCTAAAGTGGGCATCAGGTGCCTTTCTATCATTTCACTTCTGATTTAGACTTTAATCAAACCCACCTGCTCACCTCAAACTTAAACTTTTACATAATAAAAAAAAAAAAAAAAAAAACTTTTACAGTTTCAAGTAAATTCCAAGTTGCATTTACGTTTGTGATGGTAGGTAAAGATGTTTTTTTTTTTGTATTTTGATCTTTATTTCACTCTCAATCAGTGAGCAATTCTCAGGCTCTGTTTTGGTGGCATTAATGTGACTTTTACAGATTTTCCCCTCTTTTCTTCATCCCAACAGGCATTAAACAAATCTTTTAAAGCTTGTATCCTACCAGGAAGGCCAATAAATCTGTTCAGATTATTTGGTTAGTAACCTTTTCTTACTATTGTTTTTTTTCCCCCATCAGGTGAAGGTATTGCATAACCAGCTCGTCCTGTTCCACAATGCTATAGCTGCCTATTACGCTGGAAACCAGCAGCAGCTGGAGCAGACTCTCAAGCAGTTCCACATCAAGTTGAAGGTGCCTGGTGGTGAAAGTCCTTCATGGCTGGAAGAGCATTAAACAGTTCCTTGTGGTGGTGGTTTAGCTCAGTTTGACCAAACCCGCTACAGAAACGACAGAGTCCTACCTTCCCCTTGTTGCTGCTTTTCAAACTTCTGAAACTACATCTTCTAACAAAAGGAACCAACTCCTACACTCCTATTGTCTGATCTTCCTAAGTCATTTTTGTTGTTCTTTCAAATCATAAGAGAAGCACTTTTCTACTGTTTGACAGATGTGTTGAACAGGAGTTGCAGCAGTAAACACTTTCTGAAACTCTAAATGGCCTTTTGTACTTCAGCATATGAATGTTTGTATATCAGCAGAGCACAGTTGGCGTTATTCTGGCAGCTATGGGAGGATGCTGCCATTAAATGTCACAACAATCTGGACTTTTACCACATGACATCCAGTACTAATTCTGAATGAACCAGATGTGATAATCAGAGCTAAGTTGTACTCAAACTTTTTAATTGTGTAAATTGGTTTTATTTTCATTGTTCAGTTGTCTGAAGTGGCAATTTGACCATTTGGGAGTGTTTGTTTGTTTTATGGTTAAGATTTAGAAGTGAATATGTGTTATTTTTCTCTGTTGGCCTCAAACAAGGTCTGCCTATCAAACGCACCTGCATTGACTGATTCAAAAACCAAAGTTTACAAAATCAAGTTATTTTTTCCCCCAGGTTTTATGTGCGATGGGCAGACCTAGAGCAGCTTATTCTGACTGATTGCTGACTTGATGTTGAGCTGTTTTTAAACTACCAGCTCCTGACTGCAACTTCATGTTGGAATAATGATTTCATATCCGATGCACATCTTTTCTGCTGAACCTTGCAAAACCAAAGTGTTTCCAAAAAGCTCTAATCATTTAGTCAAACATGCACTCCTCTTTTAGCTTGTCTGTATTTAGGATAGAAAAATGGAGATGGAAGTGATTCTTGTAGATTCCAGAACATGAAGGACCAGCCTTTTGTCATTTTAACGTGCCTTGAATCTGTTCTTTTCTTGCTCTCAGTACACTCCTGCTTCTGGGTTTTTTAAAACTGTCAGCATGGGGCAAAGGACCAAACAGAACACGGACATTGGAACATTCAGCACAATAATTTCACTGACTTCCTAAATCAATCTTGAAAACATGTCCCTTATATGCACATTTATTAATATAGGTCTAAACAACTATGTTAAAGGCCTAATGTCAGGTGTGAACCAAAATTGAATTAACTGCAGTTTTCACCTGTAAAGACCAGCATCTTTGGCTGCTATCCGTTTACGTCATCTGGGCTATAAAGTGTATTTTTCAAGAAGAAAGGCTCATTATTTTTCCTAGGGCTTGCTACAACGGTTTAAAGGAGTAAAGCTTGTACAAGATGTCATTTCCTGGAAAAAATATATATATTTGAAATCTATTTTAATGTTGGATTGACCAATGCAGCCACTTGGCTTATTTTTTCTAGTACCTCTGTGTTCTAGTGGATATCAACCTTTTGTAAAATGTAAAATGAACATGTTAAAATGGGAATATTCTGAATGTTGTGTAACCTGTATGGGGAGAATAAAATTTCTCTTTCTGTACCCTTGTTTGGAACTTTAAGATATAAAAAAAGAAATGAAAATATAAACGGCAGTCAAGGTGATTGGTTCATTAAAATAGTGTGCTGTAGTACTTACTGATAAGTAATCTTTTCAGTTTGACATGTTTTCTGGACATTTCATGCATATTTATAAAGTATTTGTAAAGTTTTCAAAATGGTCTAGTTATTTGGTATCATTTGAGATCAGACTTTATTTGCATTTTTAACTACATGTTTTAATGAATCTTATGCTTCATACACATGATCTTCCCATCAACTCTGACAGGCTTTATTCTCCCTGCAGGAGAGGAGAATCCCTAAAGCATAATGATACCAAAACCATTTTTTACTTTGGAAATGGTTCATCATTTATGTGAAAAAGAAACTTTTTTTTTTTCGATATCTGCTAAAAGGTTCAGTTTTGATCCAATATGACCAGATCACTTTCCCGAGGTTTTTTGATCACTGGCGGTATGTAGCAAACTGCAAACATGACTTCTCCTGGCTTATTTTAAACAATTACTTTTTTTTTTCCACTTTCACGTATAGACCAAATTTACACAAATTTACAAAGTGCATGACTTGTATATGCAGATCCACATATCTGAATGTGTAGGCCACCTCTCATATATGACCTGCCTACCCTGTTGGCGTACGTAAAAGACCATTATACCCTGATAGGTTTGTATCATTGCCACACTTTCCGTTTTCTGAGTTCTCCACAGCTTTAATTGCTTTGCATGGTACTGTAATGTTAGAAAAGAAACTATCCCTGACAGCTAAAGATGTGCTCTATGAGAATTTACAATAGCCTTTTTGTTTTTTTAAGCAACCTGTCCCATCCTGTATTTTCTCAGTGTGGAGCCGTTTTACTGAAAGTCCCCCCCCCCCCCCCCCCCCCAAAAAAAAAAGCTTTAGGTTTCCACAAGCCGACCACACCCACAGCTAAACTTTTTACAGGATCTGGATAATCCCCAGGAAAGCTTTAACAATGTTGACCGTAGCATCAGTGACATGTTTTATCTGGAATTGAATTGTCATTTTAAACACGGCCTGTTGGAACACCACGCCGTCTGGAGCAAACGGTTTCTCAGAGAACAAAAGGAGATGAATGACTGGCATTCGAAATGAACTCATAATCTTTCAAGCAGTTAGAGGTAAACTGTCTTTGTGTACTCTACCTTTGATCTTAATGGTGTTTTATTAATCCTGGGTCATTCACTAAACCATTAAATTTATTTATATTTCAAAAGCATAACCTCACTTTGGAAAAATTTAGAAACTCCTACCTTCAATTTGGGTTTGTTTATGAACTGAGTGGAAAAATACATAAAGAAATCGTCTTAAAGTCCAAACCCCTACTCTATACATTATGAGCCTGCTCTGTAAGATAATTAGAGTGAATAGCAATTTAAAGTCTAAAATATTCTTAAGGACATTTCCTGAATTTTGGAAATGGCTGAAGTTCAAAGGGCTCAGGCACAAAGCAGATAAAGTTCTCTCTATAAGTGTGAACATATCTGCTTGGGCTACAATATAAAAAGCTTGGTTAAGGCAAACTTAAAGATAAGTTAGAAACAAACCAACCCCCCTAATTAACACGGTGTTCTGATTTACAGGGCCGGAGCTGGATGGGGTGGCAGTGGCCACCCTTACCCAATCATTGGCCACCCCTACCATTTTTTCCCTATAATACAGACGGTGACAGCAGTAATACTCTCAAGTGGAATGTTCTAACTTATTTAACATTTAAAGTTTATATATGTAAACAATTACCTGACAACAAAACCATGTGGTTAATTATGCACATGAATATACTAAAATTAAATACAGAATCCATGCTCTTTTCAGAACTAGATTTAGTCTTATATGGTGTAAAGAGGAAATTATGGCCTCTGTAATTCATCTAGGAGTCTTCACTGAAATCAGAGATAAATAACTACTTTAATAATAAGCAATCCATTTAATGTAGATATTAGTACATTAATAAAAGTAGGTTAGTAATGATAATGAATAAGATGTTCACGCCAGAACTAAAAACTGAAAGAATTTTGTCAACTACACCTTTAATTTCGACAGCATGGATGTATAAATATATGCATCTTTTGTTTGCAAAGGCTGTAGGAAAGTATAGTTTGTCTTTATTTAGAAAATGGAGATGTTGTGATTGTTCATTTTCCTGTTGGAACAGTGTAGATTGACCCTGAGGTTCTGGTGCCTATCCGCTTTCGGCCACCCCTCAGTGAACATTGGTTATTGCCTGGCCACCCTTATAAAAATGCTCTGGCTACGCCTCTGCTGATTTAAAATGAGTTCATCAACACTCCTGATCAGAGTTGCACCTGCTTATATCAACCCAGCCGCCAGAGTTGTTATTACACCGGTAGGCGCGCACGGGAGCGCAGGGGTGGAGGGGCACGTGAACGCGCCCGTTCCACCTGGCCCAATCACGTTACGAGGAGGTTGTGAACACCGCCACAGTCTGCTGCCCAGTCTGTCTGCGCTGCGCCCCGACCAGGACGCGCTCTGCTTACCTGAGCTCCGCATCCATCTGAAGCTAAACTCCTTTCTCCACTGAAAGCCGCCTCCTCCATATCCATAAAGGTGTCTGAGCGGAGTAGCAGTTCTGACCCAGCTCTCTCTCTCCTCTGTCCGGTAAGTGAATCAGGACATAACGCCGCATCATGCTGCGCTGCGTTAAACTCTGGGCTGGAAAGTCGCCGTATCGTGACAACTCATTGAACCTCTTCAGCATTTGATTTATGCGCACCTATTTATTTGTTTAAAGCAGACATTATGTGTCCTGCAATGCAGCCCATGTCCAAAATGACATCATTACAGCAGTAGCTACCCTTGATTCTGGGTCTTTATGCCCATCCACAAAATTAAACATATAGGAAAAAAAATTCCCTAAGGTAATTTACATTTGATTTAGAACATTTTATTCTGTCAAAGTTCAGTTGTCAGTATGCTGCAGCAGGAGGGATTATAGACTGCAATAAACCGGCTGAAATAAAGTACTGTGTTACAATGCAACAATTGTAGGGTATTTAGTTATAAGTCAGATCACATCTTTCACACATCAGGTTTCCTGTTTATAACACTATAAAGCTTCCTATACTAATGTATATGACCTATTCAGTGTTTTTTCAAAGGAAAAAAAATAATTAAGCTTGACTATTTCTACTTTAGAACTCCACACAAACAGTAAATTACCAGCTTATGTAGCACAAGTTGAGTTAAACTATAGTTAAAGTTCAGTTCCAGCTACTGGGTTTCACAGTTTTTTAAGTTTTTTTATATAGATCCTTCCACGTCACAACAGCATTTAATTTAACTTTATGTGATAGACCAAGATCTGTTAGTACTTAATTGTGATTTTGAAGACCAAATATATTTAATGGCATTGATTTTTTTATTACAATTAAAAATCAGAAGAATCTTGGATACATTTCATGTACTTTACTCCAATACCCCAATAGTGCACCCAACTTCCTCCATAGGACACCTCATTAGTAACTAAGAGTCCACATTTGTCTGATTTCTCTGGTAACTACTCATTAAGTGCAATAACCATTCGGGTCCTCTGAGACATTACTTTTTAGATCCATCTTGTGCTGCCATTACAGCTCTTTTAGGAGTATTTCTCTACCAGTTATTCATCTTTGCAGAATTCCTGAAGCCATGAACATAATTGGGGGGGACATGTCCCCTGCACTTGTCACCTTTTTTTTCCCTTTTCTTTTTTTACACAGGGTATTGTTGTAAGCCCTTGAATGTGCTTCATCATAAACAGAGATGGGAAGTAACGAAATAGAAATACTTGGTTACTGTACTCAAGTAGATTTTTCTGATATTTTTACTTTACTTTACTACTTATTTTTATGGCGACTTTTTACTTCTACTCCTTACATTTTTACACAAATATCTGTATTTTCTACTCCTTACATTTAACAAAATTGGCTCGTTACTTTAGTTTTGAATCATTTCAATGGAGTTATCGTTATTATTTTTCACGTCATCAATACCAAATTCAATCTAATTGGATGGGAATCTACGTTGCATTTGACGCACCACTACAAGATGAATCGACAGATTCGGCGGTATTCATTCACGGCAAATCATTGCAGCTTGGTGGCGTTAGCATAGTAGTACGGACGACGAGATGATTGAAAATGAACACAACGGAGATCTAGTCCTATTGGCAGACATCCATTTAAAATGTAGGCAACGGCATGAAAAAAGTGGTTTCTACTTTTACTTTTATACTTTAAGTAAATTTACAGACCAGTGCACGTCCCCTGCACTTTTTTAAACGTCCGGTTTGGTCCTCTGCAGGTTTTACTGTCCAAAATGTTACACTACAGTACGCAGACGTTCTTCGAGTTCTAGGACCAAGTGGAAAACTGCAGGTCAAACTGAAGCCCCTGAGTTTAGATTGGCTGTCACCGCTGTCACTCCTAGGAAGCTCACTTTACAGACATCTCATAAAAAAAAAATGAAAAATAGCAAACATCTGATGCACCATTCAATCTGGTCTGTGATTGGATGGGCAAACATACTGAAAACATGTGGACTTTGACTGAGCTGCTGCTAACATCTCAATCAGTTCGGATCTAAGCCATTAAATTTTAGCTCTGGTTGTATTATTTTCCCGCTTAACGGTCAACCTTCTTTTTAGTCCTGGAGATGGACAATCCAATTTTCCTTCATTCTGTTCACTTAACCAAATCATTAGTCTCTCTCTAGAGAAAGGTCAAGAGAAAAAAATATTTGTTAATGTCTTAAAGTTGATTCGTTACATTCTATGTTGTTTTACTTGTTCAGGTGCCAATAGAAACTTCCTTTCATTTCAGCATGTTTGGCCTTTTTAACATGCCCCCCCTTTACACTTTCATCCATGTCAAAATGATCTATGATGCAGCACATTCAAGGGCTTAGAACAATACCCTGTGTAAAAACAGAAAAGGGAAAAAAGGTGAATTGATCTTTTCTCTGGGCTGAGTGAGTGAGGAGCATGGTGACTCCCTCTCTGGTTGCTGTGGAGG